CACTTTAGTATCACTCCAATTACATCAGCATTCAACACAGATTTTTGAGAAGTATAAATTCAGCATTTGATGGTTCTCTGGAGGCCGAGTCCACAAACACTGAAAATTGCTTTCCCCCTAACGTCTAATTTTAAAATACAGGGAGAAAAAATGCATCTGGCTCTACATCAGTACCACAGAGAAAACCAAACAACCCACAGAAACCGCTTCTAGTATTCCAGAAAAGCTACTTGCCTCTGTACAGAGCGGGGCAATCTCCAGGTGTAGCATTACTTCCCACGTTGCGTTTACTTTAGGGACTTACGGCTGCACTGTTAATCTATTAACGGTTAACACTAACATCCTAGGCCGGCAATAAGCACCTTTTCCCAGTATCAGGCAAAACATTATATGCCTTCTAGAGTGACGCTGAAGTAGAAACTGTTCTATAGCCGTATTTTATTTTGCTGAAAAATTCAGGAAGTTTCTTTAAACATCCTAGATGAACCCTGCCAAAGCTTCATGTCCTTAAGCAGATAATTCCAGCCACCCCAGAGACAAGGTACATCTCATGCAGCCCATGCAATTCCTAGAAAGTTAACCAGCTTTTTTGTTTAGTACTACACTCTGAACTCTACCCACAGACATCTACTAAAGTTGTGGGCATATCAGCAGTTCCAGTTTTTCTCATAAAAAACATTTTGTCTATAACATAATCATCAGATTATTTTAAAACAGCATAAACATTAACTGGCAGATTATTATTATTAGTTTGGTCTAACAGCATCATTTTACATTTAAATTTATGAAGACTTCCATGACTTTTAAGACCTAAGAAATCACTGGTTTAAATGGGAACCTTCACCCAATATGGGTTACAGAATGACTGTATTTCTGAGTTGCAGCTGAGTGCGTTTTAAATGCAGCTTCTACAGTATCTAAGCAATCAAGTATTACAAAATCTCACAGAAGTTGATAAAATTCATCCTGCTTGATTTTGCATCGGATAGTCCTAGAAACTAGCTGCTTAAAGCACTACGGGAAATAATCATGCCACTTGAAGTTCAAAGTTAAAATCTAAAGAAAGCAACACTGTTGAGTTGTTACCTAATATAGACAAATAAAAATACAAACTAATATAAAATTGATTATAAATAAGAGTAGTTAAGGTACAATATTTCTGAATTCCAATTCAAACTGCTTTAATTCTTGTGTCAATTCCATTCTATGCTACAGMAGCACTATAAAAATCTGATTTAATTTCACTGATTATTCCACACTGTTTGCAATAGTAGAATGCTCAGAAATAAGACAAAACTGGGTTTAAAATAAGACGGCAATACTGAAATACTTGTTTCCATATTTCTCTATATTTTAAACTGCCCAGGTAACAGACTTAGCAGATCTGTAGGAACATTCCAATTTTAAAATATTTTGGATAATTGTCACCTACAATTTTTACCATTTCCACAAAAGAACTGTAGCATTTTTTTTGTGTGATGCAGGGGACTATTTGATGCAGTTATTGGAATAGGTCACTATTTATACACCAAAACTGTAAAGTAACAATTCAGGATGGAAAACATTTGTCTAAGTCTATGACATTGCCTAATGTCATACTGAAGTACAGCAGTCCGGTCTGACCAGCAGTCTGGTCTGACCATCCAGAACTCTGAGGTTCCATTCTCAAGGCTGTATCTTCCCTGGGGAAAGCAGGATAAATGTGTCTGAACAGAGTATTGTTATTTCCATCTTATCCGTTGTTTGTTTTTTCAAGACAGCTGAAAAATCTACTAAGTGGTTAGGGAAAGACTGTGGCTAGTAGTAGTATGGTAAATATGTTGCAATCTATCCTTCTGTGTATTGAATTCTTTTATGCCTGAGCTTTTATACTGCAGTTGGAGATTTGGCTGTTTACAAAACAGTAGTTAGTTTTGGCACATTCAGCGTTTAAGTAAACAAAGATTACTGGAATTAGCAAAAAACTTCCAGTAAACAAAGACTGACCTCTCAAAAGTTCAAATGATACCTAACTAAACATGACTAATCCTCAGAGATGACATTATGTTCTTTTTATTTTCAGTTGCATGTGCTGTGGAGTGAATAAAATCACACTTCTGTTCTCCACGCATTTGTAAGGAGATCTGTGTTTTCTTTGGTAGACATTTCTTTTTCATTTCTTTTTTTTCTTTTCTTTTTTTTTTTTTTTTTTGAAGTAATACCAAATATCTTCTCCATTAAACTAGTTTTGTTGCCACTGTTTATTTAAATCCACTGGGAAATGACAGCCTTGTTGAAATTACAGAAAATGAAAATTAATAAAGGTGCTGAATTAGGCCCTATGTTTTAATTAGGGTCTTGTTTGATCTTGTCCAAATACTAACATAAAATAGCAAAACAGCCCAAAATTTATCTGAGTGTTATGGCACACTTAATTACCTCAGGAAATAAGAGGAAGCAGAACGAGGGCATGTGCTGCTTATGTTGTTAAATGCAGTATCCATGCACCTTTTAAAAATAATGCTTAATATTTAGTAACATAAGGAATGTAAGTTGCTGAAACAACTATTTTTAAACAAAACAGGTTGTAGCAAAAGATGTCGGTAACCGGTAGGAAACGGAGTCACTCAGCCACGTGTACAGGGCCTCGCGGCCCCTCAGTAGGTGACCCCAGCACCCTAATGAACGCAGCCAGGCAGCCTAGGTGGCAGAACATATCACGGTGCTGAGTAACCTTTCCCCAAGTGCACTAGGAGGGAGAGTGTAGGGCAGTACTCATGGGGGAAGAGTTAATCAGGTAATATTTCATTTGGCAATTACACTCCCACAAAGCTGTCTCTTGAAAGTAATTTTTTCTGCAATTTTGTGATCTCTGGTTCTAGGGAAATAAAGAGCAGAGCAGCAAATCAACCAGTGAAATTAAGATTTGGTCATCTAATCTTGGATTTATCATTCCTTTGTTTTCAGGACTAGGGCTTGATGTAAAATTTGGCAAAACTGCAGGTGAGGTGTAAATAAGTTTGAGAGGGAAAAAAAAAAAAAACCTTTTCAGGAAGTTTCAATGGAAAGGAAATAGCCTCCACCATTGCCTTTAGTAGTGGTAACTAAAAGTGAAAAGCCTTAGCTCATAACTTTCAATGAAAGTCACCTCAAATCCACAGCATTTATCAGCTACAAAATGATTTTTATGGTTTCAAGGAATAGGAAGGTATAGGATCATATAGGACAACATCTGGTGGAATCTTTCTAAATACTCATTAAATTCAAGGGGATTTTTGCAGTTATCCTAAACTGTAAGGATTCATGACATAGAACTTGCTATTTTCAGTTAAGTATTTTCAGTGAAGCCAAATGATTGGCTAGACTAGCCTACGAATAATACTATAGAATCCGTAAGGAATAATATTAATAAAGAAAATCTCTCCCTCATGAAGACTTGAGTTTTCCTGCCCGTAAATTCTATAAGAATTTTTCAAGATTCAAAGCAATCAAACAAAGTGCAAAAATGCCTCTCTCATTCCTTGAATATGTCAAAAAACCTATAGCAGAATTCTACCATCTTAGTCATCACATCAGCTAGTGGAAGCAGCAAYGGTAAAACTGACCCTTTTTTCTAAACAAACACCAGACAATTTCATAGGCACCACCAACAGAGAAAATACATTTCTACCTTTGCCAGGATCAACCATTGTGCTTCAACATAAACCTACGTACAGACATTGAATACAACCAGCGAGTGCTGTAGTAGTCCTTTTATGTGGGACAGCCGTATGGGGCAGTCCTGTCACTGTCTCTSTAATTACTACTTTGCTGCTCCGGGGAGCTTCAGCTCCTGAAGGTTAAATGCACCGGAGTGATCAGGAATAACAACAACCAAGACATTAAAATCCATCTTAATTTGCTTTTTAGGATTCCATATAAATTATGGGAATACTATTAAAACAGGCATACTTAGAATATGTATATTCCTGCAATATACTTCATTCTTTCAAATTAACACTGGAAAAGGAGCTAGCTGAAAAGCATCCATGGCTGGTATTAATAGAAAGTGTTATTCATTGACATACTTCCAAATAGTCCCTCTGTTAATATCTTCAAAGCCAAAAATATAATTAACCTAAAAAAAAAAAAAGTTAAATGAAACTCTGGGAACATAGTGACATTACAGAAGATCTAAGTTACAACTCCAGTGAAAAAATGTGGGACAAATAGGGTAGGAATATAGAAGTATCAGTTCTGACTGAAGGCTGAAACTTATGCAAACAGCAGCATAAAAACCTTTTTAGAACATTTTGAGATGTGTGAAAACTACAAATGCTAGAACTGTGAAAAGGAAACTGGGAATCTGATACATATGTTATGGAAATGCCACTGCCCACTGCTAAATTATTTTTGGAGATCAGAATGGAGAATAGGAGAACAACTGCTAAAGCTGTTATAAACACAGGGTCTCCCTGGCAAAGCAAAAATCTTACCATGGATGATATTAATGACTACTRCCATCTGGATACATTTATGAAGAAACCATCTTTGGTATGTTCCAGAATACTTACTAGGAAATACAGCATTGTTTATCTATTACATCTCTGATTGTCATTGCCCTAACTTGGTCATACCAAGCAAATTCCCTAAAAAAAGATTAATTCCCTAAAAAAAAAAAAAATCTGAATGGTAGCAGCTATGCAGCATCTGCCTTGTTCTAGTTCAGAAGAAATTGCATCGATCCATGATGTTCAACATACCACCTCTTAACTCACAACCACCACTAAGAAAAACCTAGCAACATAGTTGTGACTGTCTTATTGAAATAATGAAAAAAAAAGATTTTTTTAGGTTATAAATGGTGTTTGAAAATTACACTAATAACACTTGTGGCTTAATACTGATGATTTCATTGAAAGAAATGCTAACTGGAAAATGCATTCTAGAATAAATAATTGCACGCATAGCAGTCATCGAACTGGAATTGACCCTAAGTACAGTTTTTATTCTTTATGTCTTTATTCATTCTTTTTTACTAGTATTTGTGGAATTCAGCATCTGGAACGAGCAGGAAACAAGTTGACTCTCTTTGACTCCCTTTATTTCTGCATAGTGACATTTTCCACTGTGGGCTTTGGGGATGTTACACCCAAGATATGGCCTTCAAAGCTGCTTGTTGTCATTATGATCTGTGTTGCTCTTGTGGTGTTGCCCATACAGGTAAATGTAGATTTTTTTTCTCTTTAGAATTATTTTTAAAATGAAATAATAATTGAAGTAATTTACTGTTACTGTTATTATAGCATATTTATGTTGAAAGGGATTACATTTTATTTGCACATAAAAATGAAATATTCTTTTCTCCCCTCATTTTCTATGTCTGTCCTGTAATAAGTTTAAAATTACACTAAAAAAAACAAGTACGAGCAACAGTTTTCAAGCGCTGGTGAAAAATAATGGATCCTGTCTTGTACCATACAGCCCTTCTCTTCATCCTAAAATTTAGCTTTGGTATTAATGGACCGATTTCAAAACAAACAGTAGCCAGCACTTTCTGTATGAGCATAGCATTTCCTCCCCAAGATGTCCCTGTTTCTAATCTTGGTTCTTTCTGCTTCCTCTCTTGTTCTTATGGTCTGATGTTAGCTTGAAAAACTCTTTTTAAATTTGCAACTCAAGCAGATTGCCTCACAGCTGTGTGTGCCGGTACATACGCACACTCGCCCGCACACAGAGCCAGCAACGCGGGAACCTGCAACTCCTACATAGGTTTAAAACTTCTAACAGCTTCAAGGGGAAAAGGCAGATTTGTCCAAATCCCAATTCCCTATTTCATGGAATCAGTATAGGTTTCACTACACTTAGAGCAAACATCAGTCTGATTTCTGGCTGCAGAAATCCTGGGGCGTCCTGGGCAGCCCTGCCAAGATGTTCACTGTCCCGCAGCTGATGATCACACATGACCCAGACCTCCTACCAAAAGAAGGAGATGTGGGAGGACACTGCGTGCAGCTATTCCAGTAGTCCTGCTAGAGTGCTCCACATTGGAGCTCCTTACACGGCAGGAGCTTCCAAACTGCCTCTTTGACAGTGAGCTAAAGCTCGCTGTGTGTGCAGCACAGAAAACCTTGAAATCATATGAACATTCTCACTATATCTAAATATTTAACGTCTGTGTACATGAGTATATATGCAATTATATACCCACTCAATGAAGTGGAAATTTGGTAAAATACACATCCTTTTTAAAAATGTGTTTTAAGAAATTAAAAAATTCCTTAAACTTCCCAAGAAATTGGAATTTCAACTTTCAAGTAATTCTGATTTACACCTCTGCAATCTCAGTTAATGGCCTATGATTTACTGCTTTTTCTACACCAATTTACTAGAATTAGCTATTTTAATTTTATAGCTTTGTACTGATAGGGGCTTCATATAGTGTTCCTCATAAGATGTGGGAGGCAATCTCTCCTGCGCTTTTGTCCTGCTAAGATATGAAAACAGTTATTAGTCATGATTCACTCTCTCCATCATTCGAATGGGGATGAGGAAAACAGCTAWCACACAGGCATACAGTTATACTGAGCTCAGTATTAACTGTATACAACTTCCAACGAACTTTGAAATGATATTTACATGTTTTATTAATAGTACAGATTGTTTAAATATTCTCTTTTGCCTGAAGAGCTCTGTCTACTAAAGTGGTGCTCTTACATACTTAACGATTCTGATTCATATTTCCCAACATACTGCACACTAGATTTCCCATCCGTAAGAGCACAAGACAGATTTTGCTGGGAGCCTTCAAACGCTATTCAGCTGGCAAAGATAAAATAGCTCTATTAAGAGCTGCCATGTATTTAAGTGATATCTCTGTTTGTAAAACAGGTAAGAGAGTATGTACAGATTTGATCATAATATGCGCATATTCTCACCTTCAGAATACTATAAAATCTGTGAAGAAAGTCATTGCCCAGATCATAAATAAGATGGTGCCTTTATCAGACTATCTATGCTTATAGTCACCTGAGAATATGACAGTGTTTAGGCCAAATGGCAATGGAAAAAAGTGCAGAAATGTGAAATAACAGGAAGTAAATAAGGTACAACCTTTATTTGGTTTCTAAAATCTATAATTCAGTATCATCTCTTGCTTTAAGTCCTCCTTCCCATTATTTCTGAGTGCCACACTGAGACTAGCCACAGTGCTAAGTTTGTTAGCCTTCCTACTATCATTCATCTCACCCACTTAGTAGTAATTTTTATACAAAGAAGAAAGACCTCAGGAAGAAAGTGCTCCTGATAAGACATTCAAGAGCTAAATAAAAAATAAATTGAAAAATGCAACATTGTTAAGTCATGATCCAGTTGTGCTGCACATCTGCTTGTCTGTAATTCACTGATGTTTGACATCTATTGCAGTTTGAACAGCTGGCATATTTGTGGATGGAGAGGCAAAAGTCTGGTGGCAATTACAGCCGACACAGAGCTCAGACGGAAAAACATGTTGTGCTATGTGTCAGCTCTCTGAAGATTGACTTACTTATGGATTTCTTAAATGAATTCTATGCTCACCCAAGACTGCAGGTATTTTTACAAAAAAAAAAAAAAAAAAAAAAAGAAAAAAGAAACAGTTAAACACTAGTACTTTTCAGACAGTCTTCTGAAACTGCTTTTAATTTGTAAAACTGCATTTGGGAATAGCTGACTGGATTGGGACTCTATAATTGCAGCATGGATGAGAGATACAGTATGGATACATTCATTTTAAATTGAGATAAATGGATTAAACAGACAGAATTACTGTCTTGTTGAATTATACTCGTGCTTTTAGAAACAAGTATTTCCATGTAGCTTCCTTTTCTTTCCTGTATCAAAATAGAAAACTCTATAAGTATTCTGGGGACTGCATCCAGAACTCCTTCATAAGTCAAAGAGTTTTTTGGTTTGGACATTTTATTTGGTTTTCACTGATGTTATGTAGATTATATCCTCTGCAGTTAAGAAATAGATGCACATTAAATGACAAAGATCTACATAAATTATATATAAGATTTTTACAGTCTACACATTCCCTAACACTCTCAGGGCAAAATAATGTCATATGAGTGGGTCCATATTTGGATCTGATCATATAAAACCTATTTATATTAAATAGCAATTTGGATTCAATATTGTTATCTTTGCTACAGACCATTTCTTCTATTTCCATATTTTTACTAAGCTAACTGTGGTATCTTAATTCATTAAGTAGCACATAAAATCAGAAAACAAAATACTCAAGAAGCTGAGCAGCAGTTTGTGAAGTCCCAAATATGCCTTAAATTAATTAGCACCTAAGAGATATAAGCAAATGTACAAAGAAACTCTTTTATAGACGTATACAGAAACTGAAATCCAAAATTTAGTAGCTAGTGCAAATAATAAGTCAGCTTCTATATACACTGGAGACAAAAAGTCTTAATATTACCAATATAGTCTAAAAGAGTTTTAGATACATTCTTTTTACAGTCAGAATGGGAAGCAGGAGGGCACAGATGATCCACTAGATCCAAGAGATTGTTTTCTGAAAATATCCATGAGTAGTAAGGAAAGGTTCTGTTGAGCCTTTCCTAAGCCCTTGATCCTTCTCTTCCCTAAGCCTCCCATTTATCTCTCTTTCATACATACACCTACATAGATCTTAGAACAACAGAGTACAGTCTCTATGCAGAACTTTGTCTGCATAGAGACTGTACCACAGGAAATAGGGTTTGGATCTGTCTGTTAACATAGAGGAAAAAAATGTGCAKGTATTTAAGAGGTGGGGTTTTGTAAGTGCTGGACAAATCTTCAACCAGTATTTTAAACCCATCTATTGAAATAGCTTGTGTCAATGAAATTTGAGAAATTATCAGAGATGTTTTTGACATTCTGAGCCTCTGTTGTCTTATCCTGTAGCAACAACAGACGGTAACATCAAGTAATAACATGCCTATTCCCCCTTATGTTTTTGACAGGACTATTATGTCGTTATTTTGTGTCCTACTGAGATGGATGCTCAGGTCCGAAGGGTGTTACAAATCCCAATGTGGTCCCAAAGAGTTATCTATCTGCAAGGCTCAGCACTAAAAGATCAAGACCTGTTGAGAGCAAAGTAGGCAAATATTGACTAATACTTATTTTTTGCTTGTTTCACATCATGCTGTTTACTAAGTTTGACAGACAACACAAGCTTTGTTAGAAGGAAAGCATGTGTACTGAAGAAAGCAGAGATCTGTTATATAATCTGTTTTTTCTAATATATGAAAATTTTCAAGAGATAAATATTCGTAAGCTACTTATTTTGACCAAGCTTTTCTTCACTGTCTTTTCTGTCTCAGTTTTTAGAGGTGTTAAAACAAGAGTGCATATAAACAAATCAATTTCTTCCAGAAACAGTACAGAAAATTACAAAACTGCCAGAAATGCTAACATTTATTTCTGTTCCTTGAGCAAATGTGACAAATGTCACTAGTAGTTCTACTGATCAACTGAAGGGATAAAAAGTAAACAAGGTAATGATTTCCCTTTTAAGTCATCTCACAGTCTTATTTCCTTACCTAGTCCAGACTAATAATTACAAGCAACTATTCCATTATACCACCTCCTGCAGGACCCTCCTCTTGCCACATACTTCTAGAAGATCTACTCTGTCAGGTAATAGACAATAATAATAGTTAAAAGAAATCAATCGTATTGCCTAAAAAAAAATATAACACCTAAAACACCAAAAATCCTCTGCTGAGTTGCTTGAAGGGGGGAAGGCATCATCCCTTCAAAGGAGGATCGTCACTTCAAACTCTCCAAAGAGAGATAAAGGTGATTCTTAGCAATTAATGGATTTAGGTAACCTGCACTGCTCATATAAGAACTTATTTCTTTCAACTTAAAATAAGCAACTAATAAAGACATCTAAAATTAAGGCAATACCTGCCTGAGAATTCATRGCAGTCCGTCTTCCCAGCAGAATTGTTCCAGCAGTCAAATCAATCCAAGGAGCTGAGTGAGCGGTATTTTTTCAAATGTCTGCCACTGTAATTAGAGCTACTTTTGTATCTGTTTAAAAATTGAAAATTTGATAAAGCTTTGCTCAGGTTTAAGATTTTTTTTTAAAGGTTTAAAAAGAACATTGTGAGAGGGCTGATTTTTAAGAGATCCTTCTCATGTGGGATTTGGTTGGCATTTGTTCTACACACTAGTAGAAGAAAAATTAGGCTGTTCCCTAAAGATAATCATGAATTTCACTTATAATAACCTAGAGCTAGTCAACTGTGGAACTGTGCTTTTTCCTGCAGAACATGTAATTGAATGTACCTGTCATAGAATAATTTTTAACCTCTCCTGAGGGAAAAAGCATATGGGGAATTTAATAGAATATTTAATATGAAATATAATCCAGTACCTAAGCTGTTTGCTATTTTTCTTTTAATAAGAACATAATGCACTGAGAAGATAACAAGGCACACAGTAAACTCTTCTAATAAATAAAATAATTATTAGTAACAAAAAAGGCATTTCATTATCGTAATTTATGCATGTATTACACATGAACTGCAATATCAAAATAACATGAGAAAGGCTGCATTGAAAAAGTAAAGGAATACCAAAAGTGGGCTGACTGCATTGTTAGCAAATTATCAGAAAATTAAAATTACACTTTGTATGCCGTACAACACCATTTGACTTTACAAATATTATATTCATTCCTGTTTCCTACTTTTTGAGAGCCTCACTATGCGAACAGTATTTGTGCACCCAGGTGTAATAAACAGAATAAATTTTGTCCTGTGATACCACACTGGAGCTGACGTTGTTCAGCTCCACACTGGAACTAGAAAATGAGTAACGGTACTATGTTAGATTTCTTTTCCCCTTCATCTTTCTTCCATGTTCTGTCGTGAACTCAGATATTTTTTTACCCTTCTCCTTATATTCTTCCTCTTTCTTCTCATAAACCCACCACAAATCTTCCTACTGTTAACATCAGTATTTTTCTTTATACTTCATCCTCTCACATTTTCTCCTCAGTTTACCCTGTCCCTTTAGTTTCTGCCATTTTCTAGCAGTGGAACTACTGTTCTTTGTCTCAAACTCAGATTTTCTGGCATATAAAAATAGTGTAATTGCCAAAAAAAAATCTTTCCCAATTGTTAGGACATCAATAACACTGTTCTCTCATAGAGAGTCTCTGGGTTCTAATAAATGTGTTCAATAGAGATGCTATTAGCATTTCTGTTGTCGACATTCAAGACATTTATAGAAAGTTAATCTCAGGCTGTTATCCTTGTCATCTGCAGCTGAAATGATTCAAGAAGCTTCAAAAAAAAATTCAAAAAAGGAAAAGAATGACTATGATCCCATTAGCCTCATCTAGTTATGAAACCATTCAAATATACTGTTGATCCCAGTTTCCTCACCAGCTCTCATAAAAATCCATTCCCTCACTAATGTCACTTGTCTTTCAAGGCTCTCCTTGTCTTCCAACTACTAGGACTAGTTACTGTGTAAAGGTACAGCAATTAGGAGTTATTAATGATATAGAATCTTCTTCCCCAAGCTTCTTTCTCCTTGCTCTCCTTTCCAGGAAATCCATTTTGATCATCCTGTTTCCCTTTGCCCAGAAAGTCCAGTTTTCATAAGCAAGTTGACCAGGTTCCTCTTTCCGTACTTCCCAACACCAGTAATTGGTGTGGGATTCACTTGGAGAGGATATTAAAAACTGAGGCAAGAGTGCAATAATGAGGTCATGAGACCTTCAGTCAGTTTGTTTTTCACCCCTGCTTCCACCTCAAGTCCTTATTACATGACTGCTGCACCTGCTGTAGAATAATTGCACATCAGAAGTTCTCGAAGGACTGCAGCCAGAAAACAATTCATTCAACATAGGCAGACAAAGCCACTTGTTATTTATCCCTAATGCATTGCATTGTTTATGTATCCATCATTCCACTAGCACTGGACAAGACAATTCTATGTTATGGCTGTTACCTGCCATCTCATATTCATTCTTACCATTAATGACTCCTCATTATGGTACCTTTATGCAGTAAGGTACAATAAGTAGCACAGAGTGCTGCTGCTTACCCACATTTAAACTCATGGCAAATAAATATTTTGCAGAGTAAATGTGCTGGGGCCACACTGATGTTCCTATTTTGGCACCTCTTCCACTGGCATCAGAAGTTATCTTGCTAGAACCTCGTCAAGAAGCACTGATAAGCTGTGAATTTTCTGCACAAGACAACTGCTGCTGACATTCAGATAATGGGTGAAAACAGATAGACTAAGCTTTCTCAGTATTCAGTTCCTAAGGATATATAGCATTATGAACTGTGAAACACAAGTCCACAGAAGTATTTTATTTGCAAATAACAGGCTTTTTTCTCTGCCCCTTCTTCTAGAATGGATGATGCTGAAGCTTGTTTCATTCTGAGTAGTCGCTGCGAGGTGGACAGAACAGCAGCTGTAAGTTTTGCAGAAACAACTCACAAAGAATGTGCATGCTGTTTATACTGTTACCAACTATATCCCCTCCCTAGCCTGAGACTTGTGTGCATGCAAGATTAAAATTAGCTGATTTACACAGAGGTTTCGCATGAGTGCGATGAACTTCTGCTCTCAATTAAGTTATTGGAAAGGCTTCTATTGAATTTGTTAAGGCCAGGTTCTCACAAATTCAGGAAATTAGATTTAATGTCTCATTTCACATGACGTATCTACTACTGCTTTCTTAGAAACTAAGTTATATGAACACTACCAATGAAGCTATGATTTTACAGTGTACGTTAGTTATATATTGAGAAAAGATTTTTAGAAGCCTGAAGATTTATATGTATACATTTTCTACTACAGTACTCTTTAAAAACAGAGTTCACTTGCTGAACTGTGTTTATAGTTTATGAACTATTACACATTTTTGTGCATTTTTTTTTCTTTTCATAGAATAGCAGCATATAATTATAACATTTAGGGATCATTTCCATATTTTATATTTAAGTATATAAGCAATATCCTGATCCTGTACAGATTTGTTGACGCTTGGTTATTAATCACTCTAAAGAGTAGCACTCCGTCAAAAATAGAAGTTTTATTCATATTGTCTGGACTAATTGCAGTTTGCTGTCAGTGTCTAATTTAGAGAGTTATATTTAATAAAGCAGAAAAGAAGTACACCAGCTGGCTGGTATATCCATTCAGAAGCTTTAAACTATCAAGTGCTTAGTGTGAACAAAGTAAGAATTGAATTCAACTTTATAAATCATTCAGTGACTAATATCAAACAACCAATACCTCTAAGAATAACTTAATACTTTTCATATTTGTTAATAATAGATGTGAAAAATGCAAAGATTCTTTAAATAAATTATGTTCATGCTAATAGTTATTTGCTGTCAGACTAGTTACTATCCAAAAASGGCAGTGATATAACTATGCAGCATATCTGTGGTAAAAGAATAAAAATATTTTAGTATCAACTAGAACTTATTAAATTGGTGAATTATCTATTGATTGCAAATAACTGGGGAGAAAATCGCTGAGGAAGAAGAGTTCATGAACTCAATTTCACTGTTTTCACCATGATTCACAAGGTAAAATATTGCACACTTAGCTGTCTCTTCAGTTCAGTATTGAAGTGCATAGCAAGATAATCAAAATAGGTTTAAGAATCCACAGAATTAAATTAGGTTGTTTGCAAATTGCTTGACAACATCAAAGTTGTGTCTTCAAATCAGTTTATCTCAATTAAAAAAAAAAAATAGGATAGTAATATTTGAAAACAAAGCAATGCACCTGTATAAAGAGTTTTAGTTTAATTTGTATTTGTTAATATTATCTTTTACAGACTACTGTTCTACTGTTAGATAATAAGGAATAGCCATTAGTTTCCTAAACGTTAAAATTGGGAATAAGTAAACACAGGAAATAAAGACTGCATCAAATACGTAGAGCTTCTTAATATATTGCCTAAAACTTGACTTCTTAATATATTGCCTATAACTTGACATAACAACGACTTCCTTTGCCCTCAAAACCTATTTACCACCCTCACTATACCTATAACTGAGTAGAAAAAAAGTGACAGAAGCAGCAACAAAAGCTGTAGTTAGCACAAAGAAAAAAAAAAATTCCCTTTGTAGAGAAATGAGCCTCTAGAAGCAAATTTGATTAAAAGTAGCTTTTTTTTTTTTTTTTGGGTAGAATATCACAATGCTATAAGAAGTATTTTACTTCAGAGCTAAAGATCCTGGGCTAAACTTCACTCACATAAAGCCACTGAACTCTCTTGAGAAATAAATCTGCTATGATATTCAGACTTTTCCTGAACTAATGGCATTGAATTCGATTAATCAGCACTAGACTCTTGAGTAGTGAGAGCCACTGAATGCAGCAATAGGTCCTAGAGAAAATGTTAAGGCAAGTACTCAGAATGTACTATTTGGAAGTGAAGGAGGTACTAGGGTATTTATATATAAGAATAGATAGTAATTCCTGCAAATACCTGTGAAAATACTGCTTTATGACACTGAAGAAAAACACCTTGCTTAAATTAGCTCARTTAGCTTAAATTAGCTGATTCTGATTCAGCTACAAAATCTTGTTTCAAAGAATATACTGGACAAAACAGCTCAGAAATGAGAAATCCCATAAACCAGAGGATGTGAATCACAGCCATTCTTGTACTCTACCTTTCCACAGCTGTAAGGACATCTGCGCTGACGTAGGAGTCACTTAGACATAAGCTCTACATCTCTACTCTGCTCTAACCCCTCCAAAGCTTACACCAAGAGAGGGCAATTTTCAGCTCTGCCTAGATTTCCCACAGGGCAGCCAGTGGACTCCAAGTATCTTCCATCCATTCTGGCCAATCCTACTCGTTTCTGATTTCAAAGCTGCAGCCAGCTACAGTTCTCTCCATGCAGCCTTTCCACCCTCTTGGCCAGAGTGCCCCAAGGAACAATAAAATATTTTGTCCCATCTCTTCCAATCGAGGCCATTAGCAACACTCAGGTATCACTTTATCCAGACATCCAAAATGGGAGATCTTACTGAAGAAAAGATCCCTCTTATCTTCTGCTGTAGCAATATGCCCTTTTGGCTAACTAGTCATAATGTGGCAGCAGTTAGCAGATGGTTTTCTAGATAGAATAAATAACATGAATCAAGCTTTTCTTATCCTCTTTATTTGAGTTTTGTACATTTTAAGAACTTTCCTCCCCTACAATGCCTTATGGGGAAGGCCCTTGTCTTGGCAGCACTGCATACACCTACACTTCCCCCTTCCGCAATACAGACCTCAACAATCTGCTACCAAGCAAATAATATTATTCGCACAGCCTGCTGTGGTGTACAGATCAATTTTTGCCACTGAAATCAACCATCACTCTTTATAAGGAGTTGTGTCTTCGTTCTCTATGATTTTCAGAAAAGTTTTCTTATGCAGGTTTATACAAAACGAAAAAAATCCTCTTGCCACAGAGAGATGGAAAAGGATTCCCCATAGAGAGGATTCTCCCAAAAGATGAAATGATTCTCCATCTTTTGTAACTATTCATGTAAAGCAAAAATAACTATTTTGATCTCTTAAATTCAGACTTTCACTTGGCCAAGTGCATTGAGAAACTGATTATGCATGTCTAAACTCTATCCCTTATTCTRTCCATTCTACACTATATGCCACCTGTCAATAAACAGTGTTTCTCAGTGAAATGGCAAAAAAAATGATAAGAAAACATAAAAGAGCAGGAATATGACTAAACGGTGCTTATAGTTCAAAAGAAGATATTATCCTAGGCTTGTGTTACACATTTATCAAAGTCAAGTATTTGCTACAACTTTAGTAAATGCCACTCTCTGAATGAGTTAGGATTTTTCCAAACAAGAAATGTTTGCTCGGAAATACCAGCTAATGAGAACTGGACTGTGTCCAGAAAGCCTAGCAGTTTCAAAAATGTCTAAGGAAGGCCAGCTTGCCTTGAGAGTTGAGAGAGAGCTTAAAAACTTCCTTCAAGTGGGACCCAGTCCTGCCCCGCAGGCTCCCCAGAGCCACTGCTCCCCAGAGCCACTGCTGCGGCGTCCTGCTCACGCTGGTCACGTCTTGCCTCTCAAGCGTGTCACCGGCCCGGCAGCTCGGCACTCCTGGGGTACTTCAGTTCAGAGACATGATTTATTCTGTGGCTCCAAAGCAAATGGCATAAATCAGGAATCTGAATTGGAACAGTGAAATTGGGCTCTGAGGGTCAGTGTGGTTTTTGCTCTTCCTTTTCGTTGTTGTTCAGATCCCCTTTTCACATACTAGAATTTATACTTTATATAATAGGGCAGTTTTTTTGTCTCTGTTTTTTGTTTCATCTTACTGCCCTCTAGAGCTTTGAAATGAAATAGAAACTTCTCTACTAAGGAGTATATGAATATAAGTTACTGTTTGATACTGAGCTAAAAAAAGTTCAATTTTAAGCCTATCTCAGTAGCTGCAACTGATTTTTCACCCTACTTTGCCTGGGAGACTGACAAAGTGTTAGGAATACCCCAGATCCTGTCCTACATCTGACAGTTGCTAAAATAAAAGTTAAAAGACATGTTTAGGAGACCCCTGTCTAGAACAGCTCTTGTTACTCGGGGGATTTTTCGAAGTCCATGAGGGTTTTCCTCTCAACTGCAGTCCTTAGAAGAGGGAACTGGCTGTTCCTTGCCTGCCTTTGTGTTCTTAATACATTCTTAATACATTTAATACATTTAAGCAMCACAGTCCGGTACTTCTCATCCATGATTCTGAACTATAGCTCATAAGGAAAGTTCAACACCAGGTGACAGGCAGCTACTTTATAAAAAATTATCAGACCAAGAATCTGTCAGCTTTTCCGTCTCCTACCGTGCATTTTCTCTTTCCTGTCAAGACAAAGCTCTACCAAATTTTATTTTATCAAATGTCGTTTTGACATCTCAGACCAAGATATAAGCTGCTCATCTGCCACAGTAAGCAGAACAGTCATCTATTTCATATATGGAGGATTTTATTAAGCATTCTTTACTGTTATTATAATTTACTGTATTATAAATAACAGTATATAGTAATTTAAATAACAGATAGTTTCAGGGAAAAATACTTTTTTCAGACAAAAACAGTTATGCTTTCAAGAGAAAATAATTTTTAAAAACTCATAGAAAATACCTGAATAACCTGGAGGAAAACGGAAGGACTGAAATTATACTTGCTGGTCTAATTTTGGTTTATCACAGCAAATTCAATCTTAACTTATGGATGTAATATATGGGAATGAAAAACGCAATTCTCTTCGATTTTATTAAGTCTCAACTCTGTGTCAACAAAGCAGTTATTCAAGAAACCATTCTTTCTCATCTGTTTCAAAAATCAATGAGGTCTGTGCCAGGCTGCTATGGAAAGGACAGGGAGGAAGCTAGTTATGTCAAACCCAATGTAATGAAGTAGTATTATCACTGCAAATGACTGAAGATTATGTTTCCTTGACACTGTTTGCATAAAAAGGGCAGATAAACCTGTGTTGTTGCAGACAGGTTTTCATATCTGCCCTAAATCTGCCTCCCAGCTTCTTGCTCGTATCAGTGCTTTAGCATCCCATTACCCAGTCATTTGCTACTTGTAAGGTGAGTTGGGATTTAGCTCCCTTCAGACAAAGCAACAAGAAGCCCAAATGCCAAGAATCATAATACAGGGTCATAAGTCATATGTGGAAGAAACAGGGTTGAAAAAGTGACTGTAAAAGAGGAAAGCTTAAAGCAAGTTCTCCAATCTGCTGCGTGGCCAACAGCAAACATACATAATCTTTCATAAAAGTGTTAATAAGATAAAACATATACTAATCTATTTTACCATCCTCAAAAGGTCTTCTCCTTATGACTTCATTCCAGTATTTCTAGCAGAAGAGCTACTTGGTACCATCTCAATTGACATTAAAATATTATGGTTTGAAAATGTCAATTATGCTCTGTTCCAGGCAGAGATTTTCCCTTGTGTTCATGAGTCTGAAAGCTTTCCTTATTGCTGATGCTGCAAACATAATGAATTACTCTTTATATTCTGTCTTTTAATAGCACCAATTTCATGACTAGGCAAGGCATTTCAAACCAAAAACTGTTTCCAATGTGGAGTTCTCAATTATTCCTTTTTATTTCTGAAGTAAATAAAAACTATGTTGAAGTGAACCATATTTCATGGAATTCAATATATTATCAAATACTTTTGTGGGATAGCAGCTACTTATATTTAACTCTCACTTGACATATAGTAATGAGCACAAAACCTCTATCTGTGAATCTGTTGAAATCCAGTGGCCAGTAGATGGTAAAATTCTGCCATCAGTTATGAATATGCGCTAGCAGCACAAAAATGCAGTTCTATTTTGAGTTTTGGTGTTTAGCTGATATTTTGATCCTTGGTGTTTAGCTGACAACTTGTGAGACTTACCACTAATTTAACATTTTAAAACTGATATCTTTATTCTATATTACTCAAATGAGGAGTCTTTTTCTAAATACACTAATATATCCATCCAGATTAATTATGCGTGGCTCATCGCTACCATCTAAGAGTTTTCACACACGTTTTCCCAATCAAATGTCAGCCCTCTCAAATTAAGCTATTGCTGATACTTGCGAAAGGATGAGAGAGACAAAATACCTCACATGCAGAAGGTTTTCGGAAACAAATCTTCTCTTGCTCTTTCCAACAAGTAAAACAGGAGATCACAAAAGGTTCATAATAGTATACTACAGGTAGGAGAAGAGCTTATAGGAGGTCTTCAGCCCAATAATCCTTCTCAAAGCAGGGTCAGCTATGGGCTCAACCGGTTTTCTGGTGGGCTTTATCCAGTCAGGTCTTGAAAAGTTGCAGCACAGCCTTTCTGGACAACCTTGCTTCAGTGCTCGACTATCCTAATGGGGAAAAGGTTCGTTATATCCAGTCTCAACCTCATTGCAACCTAAATCCCTTGTCCTTTGTCTCCTACCACACAGTACTGTGGACAAGTGCTCCAGCCTCCTGACCACCTCGGAGGCCTTTTGCTGAACTCACTCCAAATTGTCCAAGTTTTTTCCTGTGTGGAGGAGCTGAAAACCCCGCCCAGTATCTGAATGCAGTCTAACTTGGGAGGAGTAGAAAGGGATAATGACTTCCCTCCATCTCCAGGCTGTGCTCCTGTTAACACAGCCCAGGATGCTGTTGGTTGCCCTTGCCCACGGGGCACACTCTACTGTCTGCCCAGACCCCCAGGTCCTTCCAGAAGAGCTGCACCCAGCTGGTCTCCTGCCTGGGCCAGTGCAGGGTGTTACCCCACTGTCCTGGATCTCACTGTCATTGTCTCATACTCTTTATTTCATTTTAGGATCATCAAACCATTTTAAGAGCATGGGCAGTTAAAGACTTTGCTCCAAATTGTCCTTTGTATGTCCAGATATTGAAACCCGAGAATAAATTTCACATCAAGTTTGCAGGTAAGTGCCATATTTCAGCCATGTAAAGAACCTGCTAATATTCTTTGGTCATTTGTTTTATAAACATGTAAACAAAAAAGTCAGATTCTCTAGAGATATTTACTGCTTAAAAAGAGCCTCTAAAAAGAACAAAATACTGTAAAAGACCATGCAATGTACCTATCATAACAACAGCAATATGTCATGCTTTGCATTAATGCCTTATTCATAAGCATTTAAAGGATTACTGTATTCACACATTCTGTTTTATAATGTATTATATAGAATTGTTTCATATATAGCACATTTTTACTGCATAACTAGAAAGGCAGGTTGCAGTATCAAGATCAGCTTGCTGAATTCATATTTTTAAACTATTTCTGTTGTTTGAATCTTACTATTACCAAGAGCCATATGGAAATAACAGGTAAGAAAAGGCCAAAAGTCAGCTACAGAATGAACTGAAAAAGGATGCTTGTTCCTGTGCGTTTTTTTTTTTTTTTTTTATGGTATAAAAACCCATGATTTTATTTACTTTCAAATATTTTTGGAAAAAAAATATAATTTAGTTCTAAATCCAGTAAAACGAGTATCTCAGAAACTAGGAATAAAAAGCAAAAAGATGTTAAGAAACCAAAATAAAGAATTCTCTCATAAGAACAGATTACTAGCTTTTATATGGCATACTTTTTTTTTTTTTTTTTTTTTTTTTTTTTTGTCAGTATGTGGGCAGGTCTCACTTTCTCTCTTCATACATATATATATATATACACACACACACACATACTTTTTTATTTATATATATCTATGTATATCTTTATCTACATATGCTCTAGGTGTCCCTGCTTGAGCAGGGCGGGGTGGACTAGATGCTCTCTAGAGGTCCCTTTCAACCTCAACCATTCAGTGATTCTGTGATATATACACAGATGCAAACACACCCATATATGCACATATTTATATGCTCATACAAACACACACATACGTGCTTATCTGTGAAAACATGCAAACACTTTCCTAAGAATAACACATTTTATCCATCTTTGCAAAAATATCTCTGTAAGTAGAAGCAAAGCTTTCCATTTCAAAGGTAACGTGAAAAAAAACAGTTTTCTTGAAGTGTATTTTGAGCATAAAGAGATTGCTGATTCATGCAAAATTCAGAAATCTCTATGGAGAAATATTAGTCTCCTTCATCATTTCAGAATGTGATAAAAAAGCAAATTTCACTGCAGAGCAATTCCAGAGCAGTAGTTAAAACTGTTTTAAAGGCTACTGGATTTATCAATAGATTCAAAAGAAGGCAAAAAGCATCAATAACAGTCCCCAAGTCATAAAAGTGCAATCTTAAAACTATGATTTGGAACAGCAGGGAATAAGACTTATACTGTGACAAGTATTACAGATTTTTTTCCCCCTTCTCCTCCTTTAAAACAAAAAGCATCAACATAACCTCTTCTCTCTTTAGCTACGGTTACATTTCTTTACCGTAACTATGGTAAATTGTCATTCCTAATTGTCTTATTACTCCAACTCCTTTATTCTTAATGCCTTATCTCTGTAGAAGCTGATACATAACTAGACTTGCAAAACACAGATATGTTCTAATTCTCAAATTGAGAATTTGGACCACATAATAATAATAATAATAATAATAATAATAATAAAGTCAACCTCCCCCCCCCAAAACAACAAAAATCTTTTTGAAATCTTTCCTTCTGTTGAGCTTAACCGAACTATTATCTCACTGTTGTCTTTTATATTCTGTAGTTCCTGAAGGGTTTATGAAGACGTTATGTATTCTGAGATTCATCAGCCACCTCCAATATTAAATACAAAAGTGCAGTGTTGTAGCGTTAAATATTTTTACTACATCTTACATCCCGAAAGAATTTTTGAGCAGCTTAGGGCAATCCATTTCCATATGCTCTGTGTGAAACAGTATTGTTGCCTTTAATTTAATGTCAATGCAAAACAGTAAAGACCTGAGAATTACAAGCTTTTTAAACTTAATCTTATTAGTCTTACTGATACAAAACACAGGAAAATTAAAATTAAAATTAAAATTGGCCAGGTTACCAACCATATAAACAGCATCATTGGATGGTTTATCTACTGCAGGTAGTCAGACAGTAAGTGTGAAACGTCAAAATGTTTGTTCACACACCTTTGCGAAGGGAGATCTCTTCTGGTTACTACCCTAGTCCAACTCTGCTTCATTCTGAGATATGCACCCAGTGGGGGCTGCGAACTATAGCCCTGCCCAGAGTCCTTACCAAGCAAATCTGTTATAAACATATGCAACATTTTTCTAAGTGCTTTTCTTATTATTCAGTACTGCTTTACTACTGCCTTAATGTAAAAGCCTTCTTTTAAATTTGATTTTCCTTTAAAAATGATTCTTCTGAAGGTTTACTGAACCAGTATTTTGCATTTTTATGAACCTGAAATCTTCAGTAGTAAACTTTTTTTTTTTTTTTTTTTTTTTTATGGGCAGGTTGCAATACCATACCTGAGAAAACTAAAGTTTCTTAATTCAATGGGGAAAATGTATCAAGGAAGTTTTTGCAACAGAAGTCTTACTTTAACTACACTGAAAATCTCTAGCACTATAAACTCAATTTCTCAGCCAATTATGTTATACTATTTTAACAACAGGTTGACCAATTGCCCAGGTTGCATGAGACAGTCCGAAATGTAGTCCCTGACTGCAGCATCCCAAGAAAAATCTCCAGGATGCTATTCAAAACAGTATACTGGAAAACTACCTGTTATAATTTATTTCAGACCGGAACACAGGAAGCCAGGCACACCTCCGCATCCTGTCTTCTCTTTGCACCTATTATTACTTTTTACATTAAAATTTGGTTACCTTTATTTGAAATGGCAGTAGTTCTTTGTGCTTGGATATGGCACACACCAATGGAGTCTGAAAAGCACCTACCATAAAGGTTTGCCCAAGCAAATTACTTTGCAAATGAGTATGAAAACACTGTAAGTATACAGTCACTAAAACAACAACCCTCAGATAGATTAGGAAACACTGTATCACCATTGTTAATAGTCTCATGTCTTGAACTGAAATACTGTGCTTATTCCTGARCAATTTCCAATACACAAATGCCCTGGCTATTCTTGTGGTAATATTCAATTTTCCTCCACTGGCAGTTGCTGATGGTTTTCTTATTCTTTTTCGCTTTTCTTTCAAACAGAGGGCTACAAAAGGCCCTCTACTCTTGATGCATCCAACTGGCTCTGCATTTAAGGACAAATATGAAAAGTAAAAATTATCCACATCTTAGCAGTATCTGCTCATGCAGTACAGATACTGAAGAAAATCTTTCTACATTTTAATTATAACTTCTATTCATTTTCTAGCAAACATATTAATCACTTTTACCTTGAATATTCAGAAATCACATACAAACAATTCCAGGAACCGGGAACATATTTCATCATTGTTGATTTATTCTAGATATCCCAATGAATTAGACTGGTGAAATCTGACATAAAATCTATAATACTTTAGCAGAAAGGAGCATTGTCCAGATTCACTGAAATGATTACTGAATGAATGCATGCGATGATGAATATAACCAATTACAGATAAAAATAGGCTAATGGATGGGCAGTTTTCTTTATCTGGTCTGGTAGTGATCATGTTAAGTTACAAATTATGAAAGTAAGGTTTCTCAGAATAATTTTGTCAGTTCTAGGACATTCTTACCACAAGACTGATGCTGCAGGCATAAATCAACACTTCAAGTATGTTTGATTTTCAGGAACATTACAGAAGTCACAGCTTACTACACTATGTTCCTACATCTATTTGTGACAGTGGCAAATTTTCTCTCAAAATATATTTTCAGTAAAAAATATAGTTTCAGAAAATCCTAAATTGTCTATTTCTTTAGTATTAATGCAGTAGAAATACTTCTATGTGATAAAATGACTTGACATCTTTAAGATTCAATTCAAGACAAAGTGCTTTTTTCTCTGACTGTTCTGTGGCAAACTGAATGGTAATTTGGTGACACTGTCACCTGATGTCACGAGACGTGAAGTTTGGGAAAACCATCACTCAGCTTCCTCCCTACCCGCATTACAGGAAAAAGCATCAGATGCAGTTGCTCATAGCCTAAACCGCAGCTCCAGAATAAAAGTACCAAGAATAAAATTAAAACATAGTGAAGTTCTAAGCACGCCATAATCTGTCAAATAATTGCAGAGACAAGTAGATTATCCTTGACCTCATCTGTGTGTAATACAACTTGGCTCCAGATAAGAAGAAACCCATAATAGTATTTCTCCTGTTTCAAATGACAGAGAAAAGACAGACAATGGAAGGCTTTTATAACACAAAACATTCATTTTTATAATATAAAAAAGGCAATTTATGAGAGAGCCAGACAGTTCATGCAATCGGGCATCTAGCTCATCAACAAAACAGAGCACAAAACAATAGCTGGACAAAGAGAAGCGCCTTATCATGAGTCAGCAAACTTTTCAAAATGTGTTTATATCTTCTGAGCCAACATTAATATTTACTCAGAGCAGATACATGAATAATTTAGCACAAAACTCTTATTTCAGTGAATTCATTTCCAGAAATGCAATGAGAATGGAAAAATGAGATGTATTCTAACAATAAAGATACGCTTGTTTCTGGAATAAATCAAAATTACTTCCAATTATTAAAGATCATGTTGATCCAAGCAAGAACAAAACATGTCCCTAATATGTTAACATCCAGTTTGATTCCATATAAGCGTTGAGTCCTTATCATTACTCAGAGAAATTTATAGGATTAGATTTCTTAAAACCTAGTTTTCCAAGCACGTCTGTAAGACTGACATTGACATAGGACCTCATTAAACAGCAGATGAAGTTAAAAAGAAAAAATCTGAATCCTGTTTTGGAATTTCCTGACCCCGTAAAGCTGATGTCCCTGTTTAAAAATGAGTATTTTACAAAGCATTTGATTTCCTTTTTTTTTTTTTTAATTCCTGAAAAGGAATCAACTAGACCTGTTCTGTTACATAATCTGAAGACTCTAGTTTTTAAAGAATTAGAGTAATAGAATGATGAAAATTAGGGCTCTGAGGAACCTGATGTTCTCAAACTACCACTAAGAATTTCTTAAGCTTCAAAATACTTCTGAAGAAAGTAGGATATTTTTATCATCCCCCCTTTCACACATGCATAAATAGCTGTTGAGGGCATAAACGGCTCACACAAGGTCAAAGACTCCAAAAGAGGTGGAAATAAATCTCAGCGTGCCCAGCTTTGTGGCTCTTAATTTAAATACCTGCCAACACAATCTCTGCTTACTCCCTAAAACACAGGAGATTAAGATGACTATTGTGTCACAGCAATCTACTTCCTTGGTGCTATATTCTTTKCCAATAAAATAAATTATATAGCTACTCAAAAACAATATTCAAGATAAAAACACATATATATTAGATAGTGCAGCCTTTGTGTTGGATTTAACTCTGAGGTATAATTTTCATTTGTATTTTGCCAACTCTGCTTTATTCAGTTTCATTTATATATATATATTTAGATCATCAGCGTGTACCTTTCAGTTCAGTACTAGAGCTGAAACAGCAGATGATTAAATAATTTTTCTATATTTTGTTCTTTTTTTTTTATTTTCCAAATATCATATATATTACTTTATAAACAACGTAAGGGAAAAGTATTTGACAAAATCCCATAAAAAAATAAAAAACACTAAGATTTCTTATTCATTCAATTTCAGGAAGTCAGAATTCATTTTCATAAACCTCTGCCATCTGACTAATGTTCATGGAACACAGATATTCTGTGCAGCAGCAGACTATGCCTTATCCTGTCAAAACTCCTTGTTTTGAATTCAAATAGAACCTTTTCAGATTTATTAATGGCACACGGTCAACTAAAAAAATGTGTTTCTGTCTGCATACTTTTTGCAGCTAATACTTAATTGTCATAACTGAAATATAGTTAGGGGAAGAAAAATCTAAGATTATCCTGCATTTGACAGCCTCTTCATATAACTAAATTCATTCTTTCTCTATAACATTTAAGTAGGCCCCAATCTTCAGAAAATGGGAGAATTAATTTGTCCTTTCAGTGACTGATGACTCTGCTGTTGAAAAGTCTTAACAAATTCCAAAAAAAGAATAGAGAAAGCATACAAAATATGCACTCACTTTTGTGTTCAGGGGGCGTCATGCAAGTAGTATGGACTATAGACTGGCTAGGGTGCCCTTGTTACAGAAATAAGGTGTTTCTAAGTACTAGAAGGTGCAGGTGTATCATGAATAAATCCCAAATCCATTAAAAGAAAAAAAAAAAAAAAAAACCGTTAGGATGCAGCATACCTATACAACCCTTGAAAATCTTCTTTATGACTTTGAGTTCCTACATTGATGGGAAATTAATTAAATTTTAACTTTGCACTTATCCTTCCTTCAACTTGCTTAAAAATTGACAGGTATACTTTAATGACATTGAAGAATAAATTTATTTTCCTTTTCATGCCGTCACCAACAACAAGAACTTAATTTTAAGCATGAGTCATCTAAGCTGGATAATACTTCATCCTATACTGTAAGCAGGTACAGAAGAGTTTGTATTTTGAAGTATAAGCCAGCGTAGAGGACACTACATCTAATGATTCTGTCGCTTTCTCTTCTCACTTCCTTCCCACTGAGTACCATTAAAGCCCAGAAGAAATAGGTATGTGCATAGCCCTGTTCCATCACAGAAAGTACTGTTCTGCAGACATACTGTTCTGCAAGTGTGTCGTATACGAAAGCCAGACAGGGACTAGGATAAAAGGAACAGTAAGCTGTTAGAAAACCCAAAAAAAGTTAAATCTAAAACCCACATGCCTAGATGAGGAGGAGGCAGCAGTTTCCGGAGGAGATAATCAAATCCACACCATACGCTCAAGTGCAGTGCAAACATCCCGGAGCTCCTGCCAAATGAGCACTGTGCAAAGCCAGCAGAGCCTGCCTAGCCAGCCTGGCGCTCCCGCTCCGCCCTGCCCTCAGGATGCGCCTGCCCAGGGACAGCACTGGCTCTCTGGGCAATTCTTGGTGTCCCTGTTCCAGCTCAGGCAAAGCTGCAGAAGGTGCAAGGAATCTAAACTGGGTTATGTTACACCGGCTACTCCTATCACTAGTGCAGCAAGAGAGTGGATGCAGGATYCATTCCTTACTGGGAGCTGCAAGACAAAGTAGGCACTGGATGGAAAATTAACTCTAATTAATGAAATCTAAGAGGTAAGCACAGATGGGACAAATCATAAGCAGCTACAGCACAAGTAAAAGAGGAAGATCCAGAGGAAAATTCTCATTGTATCTTTTATAATCATTTTATTAGGAGAGCAAGTGACAATTTAGTTCAATTGTTTTTTTGTAAGAAAATTTATATAACTTTTTTTTTCTTTATAGATCATGTTGTGTGTGAAGAGGAGTTCAAATATGCTATGCTAGCTCTAAACTGTATATGTCCAGCTACTTCCACATTAATCACGCTGCTGGTTCACACATCAAGGGGACAGTAAGTATATACTAGCATAAAAACCCTTGTCAAAGTTATAGCTGAAATGCTTTGGAAATAGCTTACCTTGAGCTCCCAGACAACCACTACAATTTTTAAAAAGAAACTAGAACAGAAGTGTCAAGATGCTTTACTTGAGATATTATAATTTCAAGGAGAACTCTCCCAAATATTTAACAACTAACTTCACCCTGTTATGCCAAAAGCACAATATAAAATGTGAGAAATCTATATTTCCAGTTCAGTAGATTGAATTGTAGATATTTTGCACGGTTCTACTTAAGAAAAACAAAAAAAAGAAAGACTATTCTAGCATATTCGATTTTACACAAACATCAAAATCCTCTTAACTTAAACTAAGATTTTTTTTCTGATAACATATAAAATAGAATTTTATATTCAGTGTCTCTATATTAAAAAGGAAGCAAATATAAATATGAGGAGAGAGATAAACGCAGTAGCCCTGCTGTTGAGAATGGTACAAGATTACAGTGTCTCTACAGACTTCCTAGTAGGACTTATCTCTGTAGGCAAACCCCACCTATACAATCTGCCATACTACATTCTTGGAATAATAAGATATTCATATTAAGGCAGCCCTGACAGAGAGAGGTGTTAAAGAGTAAATGTATCTGTAGATGTGGAGTACGTGAATACAGACAGTACATTTGAGAGTCTAGTAAAAATACATATGTTTTATTGTAGTAACCATGAGCCCAGGAATACCTTGACATTTACAGACTTATTTAACCTTTTACATGGCATTTGCAGTATTCCCCTGTGCCCAGGACAGGGAGCACCAAAATTATTGGTAAAACTTTTACTACTGAGAACAGCAAATGTCAAGATTTTAATGGCACTCTCTGTACTCTACAGTCTGTTAACAAGGTGACAACAAAAACATTTCCACGCCTTCTGAGAATCAGGAATAAATATATTCATCGAATACCTACCTTTCATTACATGGCATATGCAGAATTGAAAGCCCCTTTTAATTATTCTATATTACAAGTACATGAAAGGGATTCTGTTTTCTGATGTATTAAAGCACTTCAGCACTTCATTTCTAACTTGGCCATACTGATCTTACATACAGATTATGTATATCTGATGTAGCTTATTCTAATGGCATTGAAGAGTTCAGTGACAATTCATAGATTAAAAAATTGTCCACAAATTTTACAAATGAAGTACCAGCTATTATATGTAGAGTTCTGGATAGGGATTCTCTATAAGGTTTTTGTTAACAAATAGTTTGACTCTGATAAATATAAATTTATTTCTGATCATTGTGAAGATAAGTACACTGAGAAATCACCAGAAAGTGAATGGAATAAACAGCAGCAGAACACAACAAGAAATAATAATTATGTATTATTGAATTTTCCTTGTAATTAGGATAAACAGAAACAAATATATGTAAATTAAAATCATTTTATCTTCTGGAATCAATATGTGATGGGATTGGGAAAAGCTGATTTTCAAAACAACTTTGTTTAGATCCAGGGGAGGTTTAGATTAATGGGAGGTTTTTTGCTATTTACATGGTCTTTCATATTATTCTTCATATTAAATAAGTTATATATAAATAATTTACAGAATCTAAGATTTTAGGATAGGAAAATTTTACCTTTAATTGCAATCATAATGTCATTATTGATCTTAATTACTAATTGTCATACTTATCATTAAACATTTACAATCTAGTAATAGAATGCTATTAGGGCTTGTAATATGACACAAAATATTGGAAGAAAGTAATATTTCTGACTTCATGTGATCTTTACAGAACAGCACCATGGGAAACTTTCAAACAACTAACTGGAACCAAGCAGACTTTAAACAGGTAAACATTCGATTTTTGAGGGAAAAGTGAAATACGCAACAAGTTTCTTTTAGTTTTTAGTTTTGTTATTCTATATCAAATGCACTGTCTATTAATAATGTTACAATAAAAATGAGTTATTTTCATTAATTTTGAAACAAAATATTTTTACATTAAGGAGAAAAAAATGGTAAACTGAAGAAAGACATAAACTGATTCCAGAAACTGAAAATGTGTAAAAGAGCACAGAGGAGTAGGGGCCAGCATTAATAGAAATGCTAGCTCCAGGAGGCAAAGCAGCACGTTTTTTAGCTTTACGTAAGATCTATTGACCTTTTATATCTCGTAAGGTTCTTTCAAACAGAATACTATTTCCACATGAAACTTTGCAAAGGTAGAGGTTCAAAAAGCCCCCAGTCTACCTGCTCTGATCTTCCTAAAGGTTTATAACATTTTCTTTGAGTCTCCATGAGATAAAGAATTGGTCTACATACAGTAACAAATCAGGACAATCTCAACGTGATTAAAGTAATAATTTCTTTTTTTTGCACTGCAGAAAAAAAGGTATTTACTTGTTGTAGAGTACAAGGCACAGTAGCTAAAAACATCCTTTAGGGTTAGGGTATATACTGACGATAGGAAACTGGCAAGCAACTATAGAAAATTCTTCCTTACCATAAACGTAACCTAAGTCAACTGGGCCTTTTCTACATAAACTGCCTACAAGCAGTCAAAGAGCATCAGACAGGGCTTTCACAGAGAGCTCACACACACACTGTTGGAACCGCAGTGCATCAGCTTATTATCATGTGATTTTTAACTAATTCAGCCRTATTTCTCCTGATACTCAAGTACATAATCTTAAAATGCCTATTACTTAACATGCTTTTTAATGCATTAAAACAAATCTCTGCACTTCAATATTATTAAGCTTTGATYTCAAATATTTCTTTCAGCACAGTGGACCTTTTTACTAGGCATTTGTAGCTTCTATTGCTATGAGAAACTGCTCTAATGAGAATTTTACATTAAATTTTAAATTATTCTCTTTATCTGTACATGTTTCAGGGAGGGGCAGCAATCAGCAGAACAATGGCAGAAAATGTATGGCAGATGCTCGGGTAATGAAGTATATCATATTAACTTGGAAGAAAGTACATTTTTTGCTGAATACGAGGGGAAAAGTTTCACCTATGCTTCTTTCCATGCACATAAAAAGTAAGTTTATTTTCTCTACAAATACTAAATGATCAAATAAATAATTATTTGCTTTGCCCACAACATAGCTCTCTAATTGAAACTGCAAGATTACTCAGTACTCTTTGTTTGGGTTTAAGTATTTGGCTACTGAAATATTTCATGGATATTCTTCTCTAACATATATGTGGTCAGGTAAAAACTTATTCTGCATAACTCAACTCAGAGAGTAGAATATAAAGGATATATTGGATAAATCAGACAACAAAAATAGACCCATACCTTAAAAACCAACTATATTAAAACACTAGATCTTTTTTGGTTGAGTCAGGTGGAAAACTGGCGTGCTCCACTGTGTGCTCATTTCATGCACAATGTTCAGTTGGGAGGTGGTACACGCTATAGCCTAGCAATCGTCCAAAATAAAAACAATTTCTTCTGTTACAGTGAGCCTTAAGAATGATGTTAACATATCTTCCTTATTTAGATCATGCAGAGCTTACTCATTGTTGCTGTGAGGTGAATATACAGGCTAAACATAAATCTCATATGTTTATATATCAGTAACAAAATGAACCTATACCAAACTCTAAACAGAGAATTCTTTTGTCATATTTGATAAGGAATTAAAGCATTTCTGCCATTGACCAAGTAGATTTTAAATTGAATATCAAAAATGAATTCTGAAAATGGTTTCCATTACATATGAATAATAGAAGACTTTATTATGATGAATACTTTCTCATGTCATATATCCAGTCTTCTATTAATACATTCTCAGAAGGGAAYAGTCAAGCTAATAGAACAAATTAACTGGAACAAGAGTAGAATCAGTAGAAGATCATTACAAAGATTAAAAAAAAATGGACTGAAATGTCTAGGGATTCATCACTCTGTAAAAACAGTGTTTGATCACAAGTGGCCTATTTAGGAGATAACTTTTTTAAAACATATTTGTCATCCACACCTCTAAAAAATATTCAGAATCTGCAAAATATAAAAATAAACGGAAGTTACTTTTGACCCTGGAAATCCGAGTACATACAGAACTATGCTTAATGAACTATGCCTTTCCTTTTTTAATTAAGGTTTGGAGTCTGTCTGATTGGTGTTAGAAAGGAGGATAACAAAAACATTTTGCTGAATCCAGGTCCTCGGTACATCATGAGCTCTACAGATATATGCTTTTACATAAATATCACTAAGGAAGAGAACTCTGCTTTTAAGAAGCAAGAAAAGCACAGAAAAAAACATGAATCAAAATTATCTTATCATGGAACTTCTAGGTTGCCCGTACACAGTATAATAGCCAGCATGGGTAAGTAAAAAAAAAAAAAAAAAAAAAAAAAAAAAGCCGTTACTTATCAAGTTTATCAAGATTATTTGTACATTTATGGTATAAAAATGCAATGAACAGCAACAAGAAAAAAAAGCTATTAATAGAAACTTCATATAAAATTGCAACTTCGGGTTGCTTCTTCAGGTGTAGTTTAATCATTTGTTATATGGCTATATAGTAATCAAAATTCCTGCATAGTTTTCCTTTCAATCTTTGTCTGCAAACGCAGACAACCCTCACTAAATGGGGGAATCTCATTCACATGTTTGGTCAACCCCACTGAGAGGGTCTTTTCCACCTTGCCCAGGGACGGTGGCTATTGATTTGCAAGACACGGGCTGCCGCACTTCCAGCGGGCCCACGCTGGCCCTTCCCTCCGAGGCGGGCAAGGAGGGCCGGCGGCCCAGCATCGCCCCTGTTCTGGAGGTTGCGGACTCCTCCTCCCTGCAGACGTGCGACCTGCTGAGTGACCAGTCGGAAGATGAAACTACCCCGTCAGACGACGAAGTTTCGGCAGGCTTAGAGTAGGTATACTTCATTATAACAATGTCATCTGAAAAGCTACTGTTATTGAAAACAGCACTGTTTTTCATAGGAATGGAAATAAAACACCATTTGATTAGTGATGGTCACCTTATCTTTTGGATGTGCAGCTCGATCCGAGCAGTTGTAGCCAGCAGGACACCTAAAGGCCACCTAGAAAATTATTTCTGTTCAAGAAATACTATATTATATATTAACTCAGTGCTGTTACGACTGTTTTGAAATGAAATTAATTTCTCTATCTGCTGGAAATTTGCTACGCTTAGTAATAAGGACGTAACTGTATATTGCAATTTATTCTATAAGATAGAGGCATAACATTTTTCTTATGCTTGTTAGCCATAAGGATAATACTCAACTAATTTGTAAACAGATAAATTCTTCCGTCCTGAGAATGCATTGATAATCAGTTAACCCTTCAACAGCCTTGCTGAATACCTAGGAACAGGTACTCGAGTTCAAAACGCTGGAACAACAACAAGAAAGAAAACTGTATGAGACAAAATTATTGCTTCTAAATTACACCATTAGTACATTACTGAAATAATGATACATTACTCTGCTCTGATGAAACTAGAGCAGTCAGTCCTGTAACTCTCATACCATGAGTAATTATGGTTAGTGCAATTACTGACAGGAGTATTAAAACTGAGATGAAAGAAAGCCTGTGCCTCACCTAGCACCCTTTTCCATCTCCAACAGTGGCAAATATGAGAAACCTCAGGGAAGATCATAAAACTCCAATAAGAAAATTAATAGTTAATTATCTTCAATTTTCAAATTGAAATACCAAATTTATAGGTCTGCTATTCCCTGCCCCTGCCCACTCCAGGAGCGCTGGATATTCTGATGGTGCACATGCACCTGAAAAACCTTCCATCTCCTACTACAGGTCTCAGCAGCATCGCACCAGCAAGAGCATTTGCTATTTTCAGATAATATGAGAGCACCAGGAGTACTTAAAAATATCCTATGTTGAAAATATTAGGAGAAGAAAAAAAAAAGTTGTTACTTGAGATTAACATTTGCTCATAATCTCACTCTTCATTTGTTTTTGAAAGGGAAATGAAGAAGGCGGAAAAGTATGAGGCCCACTATTTTTCTTCCTTCTTTTCCTTTTTTAGAAGGTTTCAGCATAGATGCTCAAAAAAATAGCATAACACTTTACATCAGGCTATTTCCAAGATGCCCATGTGCAAAATAAATCTAAATTACTTTTGGTAATCCAAAAACATGATAGCTCTCAGTAATTTTTATAGAATTGCTCTAAGCTACAAAATACAAATTCTTTGATCCTAATTAAGGATATCTTTCATATGCTTCACTGTTAGTTTAAGTAACTACCAAAATGAGTCACAGATATAACACCCTCCTAAAACTATTATTTCATTAGTCAGTTATTTTAGCAATTGCCTATACTCAAAAACTTTTATTCTATTCTTCTAGGTATGCCAAAGGATATCCTCCTTACTCTCCTTATATTGGAAGTTCTCCTACATTTTGCCATCTTCTTCATGAAAAAGTGCCCTTCTGCTGTCTAAGGCTAGATAAGGTAAATGGAGTTTTTGTTACAGCATAAAACTGCATTTACGTTCATCTCTTGAATGCAGCAGAGTTCGATTCTGGTTTCTACTTAGAGATAAGATTTGTTTAGTAACTGCTAAGTTACCTGTTTTCTCACCCTATTCATCACCAAAAACACATTTGTATAGCTGTAAAATCACCTCAACCAGTCTAGTTTTTTATTTTTTTAATTGTAAAAAAATTGTCTTCACTGTCACAGCTAAATCTGTAATCCACTCAACTTGTTTCCTATTCTGATCTTAGGGGTGCCAGCATAATTACTATGAGGATGCCAAAGCCTATGGATTCAAAAATAAATTGATTATAGTTGCTGCAGAAACTGCTGGAAATGGTTTATATAATTTTATTGTTCCACTCAGAGCTTATTACCGACCAAAGAAAGAACTAAATCCTATTGTATTACTCCTGGATAACCCGTATGTAGATTTCAATTTTTTTTTTTTTTTGTGATATATTTTCAAATCAATTTAGCATTACTTTGATAGATGGTTACTCTTCACATGGCCAGTTTACAATCAAAAACATTATGGCACATATATCTTTGAGAAAGGTTGGTGACAAAAATAATACAATGCGTTAACTATCTTGTACTAAATTGACTTCTTGCTTATTACAGATGGTCAGTTTGAATTTAGATGACCTTGTTCTTCACGGGCAATATTAAAATTAAAAATTCCTTATAGTACGACAAATTACATTAATATTATTGCATCATGATAAAACTAAAATACTTTATAAATGCTGTTAAAAAAAMCCCTATATAACAGTAATTCAGACACCAAAAACCTACTTACACTTAGTGGGCTAGACCACTTAGGCATATTTTGATTACTCTAATACAAGTAGTTCTATAAACCTTTATCTATCATTATATACAATTATGGAAGAATATTAAGCCTGAACTCTCCAACTGCACAGCTCCAAAATAAACCCTGCCTTTGCAGCTATATCATAGTACTATCCCTGTGCAAGCTTAATTCATGATTTGGATTTTTTTTTTTTTGTTATCTCTCCCCAAATTTTTTGCTCAAATCTGAGATGTACATGATAGCATTGCATAAAGTATAGCCAGACAACGTGGTATAAGAAGATAGGTAGACGAGGATCCACTTAAGATTTCTGAAAAATCAGTAAGCTAATGAAATAGATTGCTTTCCCTCTCCCTTTCCCTCTGCCTTTCCCTCTGCCTTTCCCTCCCACCTTACTAAAGCCAAAGGTCCTTTTCCATGTTTTACTTACAGAAAAGACTGGGCTAGAGTGAGTGATAGGTAAATTGCTACACAATACCAGGGGCAAAACTTAAAATGGACTAACCACTACATTGCAGGAATCACCCACTAAAACAAATCTTTATTTAAAAACTCCTCCAGGAACCTTCTGTCCCTCCACTTCTGCACCAAACCACATTTGAACACATCCTACTGAGAACTCCAGGAGAACCTCCTGCAGTTATCAAACTTCCTCCTCCAGACCCAAGGATATGTTAGGAAATATTCCTTAACCTTTCCCACAGGTTTTCGTAGCATTGGAAAAGACAGAAAAATAACATATTGGAGATATAGTTTTACATACATCTACATAAGAAACATAGTGAAATCATAAAGTCTAAATGTGTATTTTCATAGAAGGCATCCAAACAGAGAAAGGTAATGCCCCAAAGCAGGACTGACATCTCCCTGGTCTTGGAAAGGCTGCAGACACTTCAGAGAGTACTCAAACCTCTCTGATCATAACAGTAATTAGTTTTACTGTCATATCTGTCTGGAAATCTCTGGAACTCTTAGTAGCTGCTTGATGATAGTTATTAATGTGATTTATTATAAAGATCTTTAGTGAAGCAGTATATACCTAAGTTTGCAAAATAGAAAGTGATTTAATTATAGTTTATAATATGACATAAATTACACAAATTGTTAAAGGTCTACAGTATTATTTCCGCTTTGCAATTTCGTATTAGATCGTATTTAAGATTAGACATACAAGTCAACAGTGCCCTCTAGTGCTTATTCTCTTTTTCAGGGTAGTGCTTGACTTGGTATATTGATACATATTTTTATGCCATTGTCACATTCCAAGCCTAAAAATGCTACTTCTCAGCATAAAGTAGAAACCATGCCAGCTAATTAAACTAACACTCTTAGTGTTGTTTCTCTTTACAGAGCAGAATCCTCTGAAAGGCACCACTTCTGTGGGGCCACAGGAGCTGAGCTGAAAGGCACAGCGGTGCTTTTCTACTGCCCGAGGTGGAATCCAGGCTGCCATTCAAGTCAACCAGCACTTTGCAGTTAACCACTTTAAATTAAAATTACCTCCTCCTTGCTCTTATGTGCCTATTTTCTCTGGTTACATAGGCAATCTGTTACAGCACGCTTACTCTACATGGCATGCCGATACTCGTGTATTTCATGGGTTTTAAGGTATCAGTTGTTTTTGAATATGTGAGATGACACCCATAAAGTAAATTTTGTAACATAAAAAACAATACTACAGTGTATTTTGCTTTCTGCATTCCTTTTTGAAAATGAGGTTTCATCTAAGATTATTGAACCATTGACTTGAATGGAGCTGATGTCTCTAAAACCAAATAATCATTGGATTCCACTTCACATTTTTATTAAAAATTTTCATGGCTTSTTTTAATTATACTTACGTCATGCATTGGAATCACGCATGTAGAAGGTCTTTGTCATCATTCATTCTTATAAGATATTTGGAATTGAATTGTGCCATAACATTTCTGATTTAAGTGCATTTATTAATAAGTAAGTCTGATCACTCTTTTTGATCAGGACAACTGTTGATTCACAGCTTTCTGCACATCTATTTCCTGTTTACAATATTAAACGATACTGCCAAAGTTTTAAAAAGCTTTTTTCTTAAACAAGCTACCACTGTATTGATGTACTTTAGAAGCGATGCTGCTTTTGTGATGTTGTGTTTCATTTTGTAATCCCATCTGCTGCTTAGGCCAGATATGCATTTTCTGGATGCAATCTGTTGGTTTCCAATGGTTTACTACATGGTGGGCTCTATCGACAAGTAGGTGAAATAACCGTCAGAAAACTTAACCTTGTAGTGCTCAGTGGTCTGTCGTGTGTATCGTGACTGCATGCTCAAGTTTGGTGTCGTACTGGAAGATGATCTTTTTGCATGCATAGCTTGTGTCAGTGTGCAATAATTTTGGACTTAAAATTTCTGGCTACTAAAAGAAATCATTAGTGAAAAATTTCTTGTAGTTTGCACAGCCACTAGTAATACTATCAAAAGCTTTAATTAATAACAGGTCTCTGAGGATGAGTAGACAGGGAATGCTGGTTAGCTTCAAAAGAAGGATTAAAATAACACATATTTAGGTGCATAAATACGTTTCTAGAAACTGACAGATTATAGCCCTCATTCTAGTGCCATCCTGTTCCTGGGTATTTGTCGGCATGGAAATACTGACTAAGGTTTTGTAAAGATACCTACAGGATGCAGACAGTACTAATAATAACGATAATGGTAGTTTAAAATGTGCCTAACAGGCTTTGCTCTTTACTACTTGAAGTATCACCTACTTCTAAATTTCTGTCCTAACCTCTTCCAATACATATTTGCATTATAGGTTTAGCAATATAGCTTTAATGTAAAAATCAGACAGAAACAAGAGAAGATGGGCCCACTAGCTAATCTGTAATCCTCAATGTCCAGAGTATCAATTCAAGAAAGAAAATGGTTTGCTTTACTGCAGTTAATACTGTGTTGGAGGTCCCTGGTGGAAATCAGGAAAGTTTTGTCTAAACAGTGTCATAGGTAACTAGTATTTACCACACTCTCTCTCAATTTCATAACACTTAAAAAGAGAATTTATACTGACAGAATAATTGAATGGGCTCAAAGCTTCGCAAATAATTAATTACCCAATGTTGTTAACCTGTTTTTGTTAGGAAGGAAAATTAGGTTTTATTAAAATTTACTTATTTATTTTCAAAAAGGAAAGTGCCATTTCCTTCCTAAAGTGATTTCTTTTCAATTTCCAAGCTAGTTTTTCACAACAATTTTAGAATTGAATGCATAAAAATGAAATGTTTTGAAGCAATTATTAGAATAGAATTCCTCAGTTTTGCATAAGCATGCGGATCATTTTGGACAATGCAATCACTTTAACCTCAGATGCAACAACATATCATATATAGTAGATGTTTTTCACTGTCTGGTTGTATAAATAAAAAGACCTATTAAAAAAATGAGGTTCACATTTATTTACTATGTTTCTGAATATCTGAAGTTATGCAGAAACAGATTATCTGGTGGCAATTTATTAACACTTTGAAAGTGAAGTATAATTGATACAATGGGAAAAAAACAACCCAAAACATTTAAAATTTTTTTTTTTTTTTTTTTTTTTTTTTAAGAATAATACCTGCAGTGAGATAAATGAGGTTGCTTTAGCATCAGGGCATACAGCCTTCCCACATAATTCTTAAAGGCTTATTAAAAAGTTAAAACAAATTTATCTTTCTCATGAAGGGAGAGGGATCTTAGCAACCTAATGAAATTCATTCTGTAGGGCATCAAGAATTTTTAACGTTATATAAGTTCACTGAAACAATATATTTAAGTAGATTACACGGGAAATTGTGGTATGTACATGGAGATGATAAAATGGAGGGAAGCAGAAATTCAATGTATAATTTACCAATTCCAGCCAGCCATAATATTTCAGTATTCCATATTTAAGTTGTTTGTTTGTGTCTTTCTCCCTCTTTCTCTTTACAAAAGCCTAGATGACTTATTAAGATGTGGGGTCACCTTTGCAGCTAATATGGTGGTGGTGGACAAAGAAAGTACAATGAGCGCTGAGGAAGAATACATGGCRGATGCTAAGACTATAGTGAATGTTCAAACACTTTTCAGGTAAGAGACTTTTACAGTCTTTATCACACCTTTGGTAATCATGAAATATTTAACTATGCCTTTCATTTTATTTATATTGTTTATGTTTTATAATATTTATATAACTATATTACAGTGATATTTACAATGTTTTGATACATATTATTTTCCTTTACTTAGTGATAAACTGAGCTTCCTAACATACAGAGGTATTTACCTGAAATCTCAATTGAAACTCCTGGGAGGGACAAAGGGGCGACAAAATATTCTAGGACCCTAAGATCTAGGACCTAAGAGAAATGGAAGACGTAGACATGCTTCAGCGCAGCAGTAGCGCACATCAATAATAAACCAAGGAGGAAAGGCAGATCCATCTAAAGTTAGAACTATGACTTTAGCAAGGCAGCCTAACATATTAGTAGTAGGTGTTCACATTTTGAATTCTTCATTTTGAAAATTAGCTATATAAGTTAAGCAAGCTGAGATCTCCTAATTTTTTCTCATTAAGGTCTTGCTAGTGTTAAATGTCTTGATTCAACAAGTACTGAATGATATATGCTACTATAAACTCTGAAACAAAGTTCCTAGTTATTTAAGAGGAAAAAACAATAGAAAACAAAGCAAAGCACACACCACACACACAAAATGCACCATGAATTAAGCACAAAATCTCTCCCAAATTTCAGTTCTAATTCCTGCGCATCCTGTCGTTCATTCTAATCACATGTGGGCAAGGATGACTCAGGGATTAGTCCTTCGCTGCAGTTCAATACCATTCAATATCACTACCCTTTGCTGTGTCAAAGCTTCTASACCTAAACAGAGATGCATAGCAAGTCTTTTGAATATGACAGTTTTTATAAGATATAAACTCATGAAATCAAAATGATTTTAATAGCTTTTAAATGCAGTCACCTGTGACAATGCAGTTAAATGCCGTTTGCATTACTGGATGCACTGATAAGAAAATCAGTGTTACCTGAGAAATTTTTATTCTGTCCTTTTAAAAAAAACTTTTAAGTTTTAAGTTTTGAATATGTACCTTATGTTTGCAGAAATGTATGGGTTTTTTTCATAGTTACATCTACATTAAAGGCATAATGATTTAACTTAATGTTTGTGTCATTAAAATGTGCTCTTAACTGTGGAGCACTAGGCTATCTCACTGAGGCGTTTGTATAGATGGTGATATTTTCCAATATTTTCTGAATATCTCAGATCTTCTATTCCATATCACAAAAAGCTATGAAGTACTGTTTGTGTTTTAACTTGTTAAAAACAAACAAAAAGAGCAGCAATKCTACAATACATACAGTAAGATATGCATACAACTACAACTGCTATCTAATCATTCTGTTGTCCTGCACTATGCTTACACTAGATGGCAGATTTAACTCATAAAATATATTTCTGTTTCTCAATAATTTTTAGGTTACATGATTCCTTTTCCAAATATTGAGATAAATATCTTTATGACTTAACATTGTCTTTTCAGAAAACTTCGTAAACTTTCACAGGTATTGTGGTTTATATAATTTTAAAAATTTTACTACTTTACTACAACACGTACCTTACGCTTACTGAACTTTTTAAATAATGTCAAAATTATATAATAATTAAATAAGAAATAACTAAACTCTGGGGAAAGGTATGAGGTAACAGTATTTACCTGTTCTACTGAACAAACTACATTCATTGCACCAAAGAGACAGTTTGGTAAATATACTTTAAGAATATGTTTAAAGGTCTTTCATTATTTAAACAAGAGGTAATAACATAAATAAATACTAAATAAGAAGCTGTACACAAGCTGTCACATTAAAGATTGTAASTCAATTTTTTGCTCAAAGATTTTGCTGAGATATGCTATTTCCATATAGCATTACTGAAAAAACATGACACCTAAGGCACACCAAGTGAAATGATTCAGAAGATAGAAGCTAATCTGCTTCATTGATTTGATCGACTCAGATCAGTTGACCTCCCTGAGGCTGCAGTTGTGTCCAAAAAGATGAAGCAAACGTGCTGCAATGCACCCAAGGCAAGAGGCCATCTAGCCTTATGTACAGTCCTCACCCCTTTTGCTGCTAGAATGCGCTCTGATGTAAGGTAGGAATTTTAGTGATGCTTATTTTGAAGCTGAGTTCCTAATAGAAATCTTTTCTAATAGCTCAGTGATAGTCCAAACGCAGCTTTAACTGGAATAACTTAGAATTTCTCTGTAAGTTAGGTGTATTTTATCACTAGATCAAGCAGAAACTCCCATCACTATYAGGTGTTATATTGTTAATATTCAAATATAAAAACGCATTCCCTTAGTACAGTAATGCAAGAAAACTTCCAACCAGCAAAAGCTTAAGTAATTTTACATTTCGGGATGCAGAATTAATGCAGAAGAAAACAGAATTTAAAAGTTGTAATTCCTTCCTCTTCCTCAGAACTTTAACAAGTTTCTTGAGCTACCTAAGAGTAGTTCATGTCTATAATATATAACAACATCAGCACTTAAAACATTTTAGTATAAAACTCAGCTTACGAGTGAAGAGATAACCATGGCTATGAGATGCAACTGTGGTACCATGTATTTAAACTATGCACGTAGAACCTGTTCTCAAGTGCTTAATCTGTAATAGGTCATAGGCAAATTCTGCATAACACTCCAACTCTCACAGCTTGTATCAAAGTCTGAATAAAAGAGTTGAGTGGCACAGAGAACTGGTGCATACGCACACCACTTTTTAAACTATAGTGCACCAAAAGGGTCATTTTTAATTATTCAGATTCTCACCAAGTTTAACTCCCTTTTTCCTTGTATGGTCACATTTAGTATTTGGTTATTCAGAAATGTAACAGCTGCTAACATGATAACCTCTAGCATTTCCAGCCTATTCAGAACATATTTGAGGCCAAGTTATTACAAGCCAAGTGACCTCCATCGCTGTAGGATTTCAAGGCCCAATGGGATAAAACCTGGAACGACTTGGTCTGAACTCACAGCTCACCCTGCTTTGAGAAAGCAGTTACACTAGACACCTCCTGTCTTCATTCCAACCTGATCTATCCCATGCTTTTTTTCTGTAAACAGCATCAGCTTTGAATTCATTAGATTCTATAATAATCTCAATCATGTTTGCAAATCTTTGCTAATTAGACCAGCTGTTCATATTCACCCACTAGAGACAGCCATTTGTTTTGGTTTCAACCAAGAACCTTCCTAACTGAATCATTTGGGAGAATGCTTTACAATACTCAATCACTGGCACTAAGGACTAGGACAAGTCAGGCAGCAGTTGCCATTTTGCCTTCAGAATCAGCAAGTTCTATTTCAAGACGTGCACAATTCTCCAAGCTGCAATCAGTAGCACAACATATTGGCTTTTTTCCTCATGATAGCACCTAACGAGAATCTCTTCATTAGTGTCCTTGAGTCATTTTATCAGGATGTAAACAGTATTTCCTAGGTTTGTGTAGTGAAGAGGAAGAAAGACATGCCAGTTATTCTGGAAAAATCTGATATGAAAAGGGACTTACGTGATTGCAAAAAGTGCCACTTCTTCCAGCAGAAAAAAATGCAGCCAATCTTACCAAAAGAGCTAATGGCTGCACTACTTTAAGAGAAATATTTATCTCTGACTTGAAAGACTCAATCTGTTCGTATGCTCCCTTTAAATTTCATACCTGAAGGAAAACAGTTGATATTGATGAAGACTGGCCAATGTAAGAGATAAGCAAAATTTTTCAGTAAGTACCTGATGAATCCAGTTGTCCTCAATTATAGAGAGCATCCGTGGAGACACCGGATCATCAGGAAGGCTTAACATTAGTTCCCTAATCAAAATGGGCTGCTCGAAATTTGCTCACAGAATCACAGAATGGTTAAGGTTGGAAGGGACCTCTAGTCCAATCCTCCTGCTCAAGCAGGGACACCCAGAGCACAGGGCACACACTGGCATCCAGGTGGGTTTTGAAGATCTCCAGAGCARGAGACTCCACAGCCTCCCTGGGCAGCCTGTTCCAGGGCTCTGTCACCCTCACAGTCAAGAAGTTTCTCCTCACCTGGAGATGAAACTGCCTGTGTTTCAACTTATACCCATTGCCCCTTGTCCTATCACTGGCCACTGGCTCACTTTGGGCAACCAGAAATGTTAGAATTGATGATTAGTGATCACCTTCAACATAGGGGTACAGCAGGCCATATTCCCAGTGTAAAACATTCGCAGGACTTGACTTTGTCTTCCAGTATTATTTTTCCCAGTAAGTGAATACAGATTCGGCGTTAGCAGTTAAGTTTTGTGTATTTCTTGGCAAATATTCCTTTAAATTGAATACACTGATGGCATACACTAAGGTTTTATATAAAACCCATTATTCAACCCAAGGTTTGGAATCTTTATTTTAACCTACTTTTAGGTAAAACATCTACTTTTAGAAAAATGTCAAAAACTATTTCAGAATTTTAAGACCTTTCTGTGTGTCCAAACTGATCATCTATATGCTAATGCTTATTTTCTAAGTCTGTTTTCATAACATTCATTATTTCTACAAAGGTCTTCTGTATTCATGCAAATTGCAGCCTGTTCCACCAAAGGAGAACATTTTAGAACTGATAAAGAAGGATTTCTTCCAATGAAACAGCTTTGGAAGCTAAAAATGCTTTAAAGAAAGGAACATCTTGATTCTAAGATGAATTTTCAATGCTAAAAAGCCAGAACATCTGGCCCCTGGCTTTAGGCAATCGATAAGTATAGATTAAAGTTACTTATAATCATCATTCTGTATATTGTATCATTCTCTTTACTGCAGTACATCCTTTAAAAATAGAGAAAGCATTAAATGGAAAGTTTTGTCTCACTTCTGTATACTACTTTCTGTGTTAAATGCCTTACTGTATTCTCAGGCAAATTAAATGTCGCATCTGGCACTTATTTTTATGCTGTTGCTAAAGGTAGAGTGCAGAGGAGCACTAGTCAACTTTTGGAGATGCTCATTATTTACTGAGATGCTGATTTTCCCTTGCATACAGCACTTGAGACAGCGTGTCTGCTTGCCTTTCTGCCCCAGAAAGAACACTCTGATGTCCTGTAAATAAAGATACTGCTTTATAGCTTTTGAATAGTATTAAGAGCAACGTCATAAGCGAACTGTTCAAGTAATCTGCTTGCTTTATATTATGAAACTAGAGTTATTAAAAAAGAGTTGCGTTCTGTCTATTGAAAGTGACTAAATAACCTAATTTTGGAGGAAGCCGAGAGAATCTTCCATGATTCACAAATACCCTAAAGGCCATAAAACTGTCCCAAACTGCTAGCTTCCCCATAGAGGTGCTATGCATATTACATCTGGAATCTGGAGTTTTATTCCAAATTATTTAGTATTTTCATAACCTAAATTAGAAAACTTTCTGCTTCTCAGAGCACTGAGCGCTGTGTGTGTGATGGGCAGGTTCTTTAGCCTGCTTCATGAAAATTTGGGTAACGTAGACAGAATTTTTTCCTCCCCACTGCTTTTCTTTGTTGTTATTGTTGAAAGTCTGAGTAATGTATTTTGCAAGCATTTTATATATGTAGATATTGCAAAGTGAGTATTCAAGTAAAATCTATGGTAACTAAAATATATGGTCCCTCCAAGCATTAAAATATTTATAAAGTCGACAGTTGAATATATGCTTCGGGCTAGTAATCTACAGAGAACGTTTTGTACAGTTCTCTGCTATTATACCAGCATTTCATTTTGCCAAATGCCACAGGTCTTAGGCAGTTAATTAAAAGCATAGACATCAACAAAGAGACACAGCATTACTGCAGAGCCATACAATAGTGAATTGTCATAATAAGACCTATAACTGCAGCATTCTTTTAAAATACAGGTTGTTCTCAAGCCTAAGCATTATCACAGAACTAACTCACCCAGCCAATATGAGATTCATGCAGTTCCGAGCCAAAGACTGCTACTCGCTTGCTCTATCCAAACTGGAAAAGGTAAGAAAGACTACTTTTTTATAAACGTAATAATTCTACTCTTTCTCTAATTTTGTAAACTCTTCAAAACAAATGGAAGCAGTGAAAACGCATTAGTTGCAAGGCTAATGCAATAATTGTTTTATTTTTCCCTTAAATCCTACCCTCATTAAAGAATGAAATTCGGTTTCTGTAATTCTGTCAATTTACAGAATAAAAATCAATGTACCAACTATTTTGACAATATAGGTATACACACATTTTGCTTAAGCAAATTTGAATATTTTTATATAACTAAATATTTAAACCTGATAATATTTTCCAGTAAGCTTTCAGACCAATAATATGGAAAATATTCAACTGACTAAACACTTTTCATTTTACTAATACTAAAATGGCATGTTCTTCATTTTAGTGAATGCACTTGTTTTCAAACTGGGGAACAGGAAGGTTATATGGAGGCTTAGGAATGTGTAGCTTAATAGCCAGATTAGTGTGTGATCCTAGGCCTGTTCAAAATCTTATTGCTAAAACACTCAGTAAATCCTTTTCTCAAGGATGATCTGACCCACATACCTCTGGACTCCACAAAACTTTCATCATCTCCACCAGGATCTTTCAGGCCTTTTTCTGAGTTACTTTGTTAGAGAAAGACCAGTGTTATCAACAAGGCAGTATTCAAGGATAGAGATCTTTCACTTCGCTTTTTTGTTCTCCCTGCTGTCAAACTAGATATTATTGTTAGATTCTCTCATGTAGCTCCCACAGTCTCCTCATCTCATATATAAAGACTGCAACTTCTTCTACATCTTCATTTATTGTACAGTTGCAAGACTTGTGGATATATGCTGGAAGCTGAACTGTTAAATAACTTATCTAAATTATGTGGGTGAAAGAGAGGTAGATAATTTATCTTCAAGGAAGAACATTTTCTTCATGCTGTTGAAGTTGCCTGCTGTTGATATTTCCCATTCATTTCATCTTAACATTTGCAGGGAACACTTCACAGGTGGTGCTGTAGTTCATTAGACTTTTCAGAACTCCCTCATGCAAAATGAAAGGCAATTAAAAACTTGAGTGAAAATTATCTGATGCAGTCAAATGTGCAGTTGACTGTTATTTCAGCATTAAGTGCCTTTTTTTTTTTTTTTTTTTTTTTTTAAGAAAGACTACAAAAGCCAGGGACTGGAGCTTCAGCTAGCAGTCAAACACACAGGGAAAATTGACTTTGCAACCTAATGGGCTGCAGAATAAAGATATGCAAATCAGAGAAGTCCATCTGCTGTTACAGCTGCAAGATTCCTTATTTTAAAACTAAAGTTGAGCTCAACTCAGCATTGACATGAGAGAAAAGGGGGAGGGGGGGGAGGTCAGTGAAGAAAAAGAGGATAAAAACAGCCTGAACTTCAAACATTTTCTCCATTTACCGTAAATGAGAAAAACACGAAGTGACCACAGCACCTTTCTTGAAAGAAAGGATTTATAGTGTCCTGGGTGAGCTTCACGCTAGTTTTCTATGATCCTTATTTTGTATGTAAAATTTCTATGCACCTTCTGGAAGATGAAAGCTCTATGCCTTTGATTCGTCATTTTAAAATACACGCACACATTTCTATCTTTTAAACAAACCAATACTGCCATTTCATATCCTCTGCAGAAATAAACACATACCTACAAGGTGAGCTGCAATCCATCTCAGAGAGCCAAGTACATTTGTTGCAATGCACAGAAAGGCAGACGGATTTTCTTAGCTTCAATTAAGAGTAGGGCCTGCTGTCACTATTACTATTTACTATTGTTCAGTTGCAAACAGATTTGAAGTAGGAAAGAGCAAGCAATAATGGCATGTGGTATTTTTAAGTAGCCAGATCAGTACCTGAAAACTGGTATAACTTGAAATGGATCTCTATTGATTTAGACCCACTACAGTTCTGATCAAAGCTATATAAACCCTTACTCCACTGATTTGGCTGCTGAACTGACAGATCTTCAGAAAGCTCTTCCAGATCAGCAACAGAAGATGAACCTGTTGTTGCCAAGGAAGGCAGAACAGAAGAGAGAAAGATCAAACAGCTCAAAATACCATAAACTGCCCAGGAAGAGAAATTATAGCATCCTAGGTTTACCACAACTAGAACAGAACAATTCATTTCTCCCCAGAACTCCACTATCTGTTACCTTTGCATCCTCTAGCACAACTCCCAAATTATGTCACACTCCATCTTCTAGTGTCTTCCCTGTGACTGTTTTTGCCTTATTGGTTCACAACAGTCAGTTCCCATGCTACTGTCTAAACTGAGAAGAATATTTAAACTAGGAGGGCCCTAGACCTCCTTAAACAACTGACGGGCTGTCCAAACAGGTTTTGGGTTAGTCTGGGATGGTACTTTCAGTCACCGGTATGATAGTATTAATTGTTTTAAAGGAATATGTATATATTTAAAAAATAATAAGAATATAAAATCAGGGTATATGAAGAAGTGTATAAGGAATATAAAAATATAACGAAATATAAGGAGCTAGAAAAGAGGGAAGTAAACAGAAAAGTTTATGAACTTGATCTAGTCAGAAAATCTCAAATCTTTTCTATGATACATAAACCCAAGGAAAAAAAAGTAATTAACTTGAAATTAAACAGTATATGTAGGTGTGCTATATATTAAGAACTTAAAGACTGCAAGTATACAGTTGCTACTATTAAAAAAATAATAATTCTGAACTCCATAACACTGAGCAAAGTCATAACCATTGGGAGACGATGGAGGACAACAAATATCTCCATCTATAAAGATCTTTATCTCATATATTTGCAGTTCTACAGGATATACTCATGCCATACTCTGCTCCTGTTTCTGGAGATGACCTGTGCTGTTGCTCTAAGGAGTTATAAACCCTTCCTGATGACTGAATTATGTGCTCTAGGTGACCCTGCGTGAGCAGGGGGGTTGGACTCGATGACCTCTGAGGTCCCTTCCAACCTTCGGCATTCTATGATTCTATGAATTCCAAAAGGTGTCAGGAAAAGAGCTATCAAACGTAATGTGGAATGAAACAGTTGGGGCCATTCTGATATATTTCAGGCTTCTGTGGCTGCTGTATTCTCTCAGAAGCCAGTGAGACTGCAGGTAATAAAGCAGAAGTTCAGTACAATATGCCTTAGTAAAAACTGCACTTCTCACTAAACTCTTAAACAAGAGGCAAGAAAAACTAAGCCTATAATAAAAAAGACAGAGAGGAAATGATACAAGTTTAATATAAAAATAAGCCTGCGGTCTTCCATTTTAAAATAAGCCACAGAGAAATGTCTTTATCTTCAGAATCTTGGATACAAACCAAATTAGTCCCAAAATATTGCTTGCCTTTCCTCACCTCTCTTGGCACAGCACCAGAATCTGCTGCAAATTATTCTAAACAGATGGAAAGATAAACATAATACCCTTATTTACCTGATGTGAAAACAGTCACCTCACAGCCAGTTCCCTATAAAACATTTTATAGCAGGAATTTAAAAGGATTTAATTCAATTGTAGATGCGGTAAATATGCATATAATTTTAATATCAAAGGACTCGATGTGGAACAAATCGTACATCTGCCATAAATGCACACCCCAAATCTTAATTCACAATAGAAGAATATTTCCAACTTCATTCAGTCACACTAAAAAGAAAAGGACTTAAGAGCTATGGAAGAAATGCATAAGCTCTTGTTTCTGTGGCCAGTTACCCCAATAAGCACAAGGATGTGCTTTTTGAAGTAAGAGATGGCTTGAGAGATGATGGCTCACCTAAGCCTAAGCATGCTCTTCATACCCTTAGGCTTTCTTTGCCAATTTTCCATCTAAGATTACTCCTTGCCTGCTTTGTTATTATAAGTTCAAAACTATCTAGCAACACGCATCAGAGCTTGGGGGGATGGTATAAGCATGTATATTTTTCTTGGGGCAAGGGGATCAAAGATTCAGAAAAATATCATAGAAAAATGAGACTATAAAATACAGTATTGCTCCGATCACATAGAAACAAAAAATAAATTAGAAAAAAAAAATCAACCGTAACACGCTTATTTTGCTGGGTGTTTTTATCTGTTCTTTTTTTGTAACATCCGTTTCAACCCATCTGAAGCCCTAGAAACCAACATGGACGAGGAGCCTATCCAACCCTGACAAAGGGGTTGCTGCAGTTCAGCAAAACTGGATGATGCACAAGTTAAGCAGACTGTTCATTTGCATGTAAATGTCTTTAATTTCAAGACCTGCAACATTTCTGCACTTAGTGAATACATCTTGCTCCTCATGACATTTCTAAACTGAAAGTTTGATACTTCCTCTCTTCTTGAAATAGCAGAAAAAATCACTTCCAACATGCTTTAATCAAAATTATATTTAAAAATATATATTATGTAATCAAAAGTATATAAAATGATATTCACAGAAAAGGGGTTTTACATTGTAATTTCTTTTAAATTCTTTTAAATTTCAATTTGATGTTATTACTGTAATCCTTTCAAAAACAGTACTAAAGTTATTATTATTTTTATTCCTGAACAGAAAGAACGGGAAAAAGGGTCTAACTTGGCATTCATGTTTCGCCTGCCCTTTGCTGCTGGCAGGGTTTTCAGCATCAGTATGTTGGACACGCTGCTTTATCAGGTACCGGGAATTACAGTGTGCCTCATCTTGCCTCAGACATGCATTGCCACCACCTATTTCTTGTTTGCACTTGGTTGGTASATGACCCTGGCTGTTCTCCTGGGCTTGTTTACTTGATATTTGGTGCTTTAAAAGTTTTCAGTTCTACTTGAAAATTAATTCTCTGAAGGAAGTTTCAAGGTACAMGGAAAAATTCCTGGAGCTAGGCTTTTCTCACTAATTCATTAATATATAGAAGAGGCAGAAAATGAAGATTAGCCAAGAGATGCAAATCCCTTTACCCAATTCTACATATTTTAGAAATAAATTTGTTCATGAAACATGTTTTTAAATGCAAGATATCAACACTAAACATGGCATTATTTAAAAACAGTAAATAAATGAGGGTACTTTTGTAGAAGCAGTTTGTCATCAACTCCTTCCAGCACATAAATAACTAACGTATTTTATAWCTGTTCCCAGCCAAGATCAATCATGCTTTGGCTTGACAGTGTGAAACTATTCACTAGGCAGTATTTAAATACAAACAGACAAAATAACAACAACAAACAAACAAGGCCCTTAAGTACCAGCTTTTCTGTCTTTGAACTCCTGCTACTCAGGAGTCTCATTTTTCTAGAATTATCTTTCCCATTCCAAGACACACATACTATGACAGCAAGTTCTCACCAGTTTTCTTCTAATATACTATTTCAAATAATGCCTCCTTCTTCTAAGGAASAAAGTAAATATCACAGAACCCAGTGAGATTCCCATTCAATAGCTCCTATTTCAGGCCAAAAGAAAAATCTTTTAAGATATCCTTAAAACAGTAAAATACGAAGTTGGTCATGCACATCCCTTACAATACGCTTGTCAGTCTAATGATAATTCTGTAGCATAAATGCATAAATAGCAGTCAAAAATTAAAAAAAGACAATTGTCCATACTGTCCCAAAATAAATAACTGGAATAAATAATATGTACTGTCTGCAGTTATTGGTTTTACCTAGGGTTCAGAAATGCACAACTTAACTGCATTTTCCTAAAAAACAGGTGCATTGGTTAAGGCAAAATACTCCAGTTTGGATTAAAATAATAGCAGTCTCCCAGTACTGGTTACTACTCCAGCTCCATATAACCAAAAAACATCATTTCTTATGCACAGAAGATAGTTAACTATCATTAATTCCACACTTCAGCCTAACACCTTACTTCCATTGATTCATCCTGCCTAGTTCTCGTGCTGCTAAAAAAATCCTTATTATGTCTTAGCCTCCAATTCCTGTGACCACTGCATGCAAATACACAATGAAGTAAAAACCCATACTCTGTTAGTAGATTCAATACTCAAATATCTATTTCTTCGGTGCTATTACCATACTTGATATAGACTGATTGTAAATGTAAACACATATATGTATAATTTCTTTGAAATTCACACAGTATTCATGGTTACCTAAYTGTCTGCTCATTAAAGCTTCTTTCTTCTCTTTCTCTCTGTAAAAATCCTGTAGTCATTTGTGAAAGATTATATGATCTCTATCACACGACTTCTGCTGGGACTTGATACCACACCAGGATCTGGGTTTCTTTGTTCTGTAAGTTAAAAATAAATACATAAAATCAGATTGGTGGAAAGTACTAGAAAAGAATCTGTACTGTTTGCAAAATGTCACCGTTTTCTCTGTATACCCATCTCCATCCCAGGAAAAAACCCCAATGCATTCTTTAAGATGCAAATAAAAAGCACAAGTATTCATGTATTTAACTATAAAAAATTAAAAACAAGAAAAAGGAAAAAAAAAGAAAAAGAAGCCATTTCATGAGAGTCGGGCTTTTGTACTACAGCATCTCCCAAAAAGGGGGACAGTAATGAAAAGGGACGGTGTGTAAACATTTAACAGAAATTTCAGTTTTTTCRTGGATTATCAGTGCAGTACTACAGTATGGTAACTACCAGTGTATGTTTTATTTTCCAAAATTTTTCAATAGTAGAATAGTGAACAAGAAATGAAAGACTCCATTCCTCTTATTATTTGTTCAGATGAAAATAACAGAAGAGGATCTGTGGATTAGGACATATGCCAGACTATACCAAAAACTGTGTTCTTCTACGGGAGACATTCCAATCGGAGTCTACAGGACAGAATCCCAAAAGCTTACAACATCTGAGGTACAACAGTTTATTATACCTTTTATGTGGATTTGATTACAGATACAACTTTAGCCCTTACAAGATTCTGAAGCAGTTGGTAAAAAGACTACTGGAAATACAGTGGGTCTCCCTGCAGTCCTTCTGGCTACATGAACATAGACACGTATACCCAGGACCCAGTTTACATCCTGATTTTTATTCTGGAGCTTGTACATAGGAAGCTGATTGATCAGGACAGCCTCAGCACCAGTAAGACAAGTGAGAGTTAGCTCCAGTATAAAAACTTGCATATACAAACTACATCGAACAACCTGTATGAGCAGGTCCTGTAGCAGGTATGTCACAGGAAGGTTGTGTTAGTAATCCACCCAAACCCTGAAATATTAATTAGAAATCAACAAGAATAAATCAGTGTTACTGAAAATACTGTGGGATCTCTCTGAGGTTAGCTGCCAAACAGGAGGAATGTGGGTATATGTGTATGTATATGTCTGCAATACATATGTATGTTTCTSCCAACACAAATATAAGAGAATGACAAAACTGCATGCTGATGATGGTAACTTCTGCCAGAATCCACATGCTAAGATTATACAAATGTAGCTTACACATAACAGTCTGATAAAATACAGAGATTGTAAGCTTCAAAATCTCTAACCCTAAATTGCTTAATACAGATTTATAAYGTTCATTCTGTATTGCCACATTTATCTTCAAGTACTCTTCTTTTACGAGTTTTGTTTTTTAGCGAGTTTCCATCCTTTTCACARCTTTCCTGTGATACAAAACTAAACACATCCAACCTCCATTCTCTGAAGTTCTGTAAATGCTTTCAAAACCAACTGCTGCCACTCAGACATTGGCTTGCAACTAGTAAATACTTTATTTTTTAACTCCTTTACAGACTTTTTTTTTCTTTTGTAAAGCTTCTGCAGGAGCTTTATCATTTTCAAAACTGAAGTGCAAAGATCCTGAGTAAACTAGCTAAAATTCAATGGCCATGTGTATTTTGCCACAAGTCACTGATTTCATAGCACTACCTATTTCTGAATTGTTTTTAACAAAAAGTTTAAACAAGAACCTAGTACATTAAACACACACACATGCAAAAATTAGAGCTGCTAAAMTGAACAGAGTGAAAAAGTTTCCCTCCTCTGTAAACAATGAAAAWTGGCTTCTTCAAATTGCTGAGTTCAATACCTTCCATTTGGTGGCTTTCTTGTAACCAGTACTTAACTTAAAATGTACTTAACTTAAACTTAAACTTAAAATGGGCTGCATATTTACCCCTTACCATCATTTAGTATCAYCCAGCATAGCAGACCATTTTAACATGACCATTACAGTCAATTTATGTTATTTAGAATAATTTTTACACTTACATTATACCAGCTTAGTAAGGTGCTATCCCATTTACTAATAACTCCCAAACTTGATAGATCCTGCTTTAAATCTTAAATAAGTYCATAATAAAAGCAAATAAAAAAATTGTGATAAAAGCTGGAAGCAAAATTTCTCTGGAAAGTACTTTTTTCAGTCCAGTCATATTCAATACTAATGGAAAYTCAAAACTTCAAAAAGACAGATTTTAAATTTATTTCCCTACTTATTCATTTGCAGTAATGCCATATACTTCCTGATGTTCTAGTGAGATACCATTCTCCAGGTTCCATTTTCTCACTATAAATAGGCTATGTTAAAAATCACTTTCTTTCTAAAAATGCTTATATACCAGTATAGAAGATGCTACTGCTATCTGCCATGCAATAATTGCTTCCATCGACTGTGCTCCCAATTAGATATACTGTAACATGAGGCAGAGATCTTTGGGATGCAAGTTGAACCATTTTGCTAAAGCAGCCGCACACGCAGCATCAATACGTGGCTGCGGAAATTACTGCAGATGAAACACCCGAGCTGCAATCTGTCATCAGTCTGACAAGCGACTTGTCCAAACCATGCCACGCAGAGCAGCAATGATTATGAATCCAGTGATGTAGCTGCTAACACACATCTAACATGCCACTCAATGACATGGTCGTATGATTCACACTGCATCCGTTTCAGAAGAAAGCTTCCTTATTTCTTGTGTAGTTTCTGTGTTTGCAGTTAAATCCTGCATGTTAAACCAACCATTTGCTCCTTTAGATTCACGTCTGTCTAAATTGTCTTGTTTTCTTTTTCCCCTTCCTTTGTCAGTCACGAGAAATGGCTTCACAAGTAAGTATTTGTTTACCATCTGCCTGTTTCCAAGTAAACTCAGGGAGCAAAACCCTTACTAGTTCTGAAAAACTGAATGGGCTTAATATAGGCATTTTGTGAGAGCATATTTGATTAGCATCTACTTGTTAGGTACATGGCTAAGTGTTTATCTTCCAGTTGCACTTGCAGAAAAGGAAGCTTTGCAATATATCTGTTTGATTAAGTTTAAAGTAATATTGTTCTTTACACAAAAGTCTTAAGTACCTGAAAGCTGATAGGAGTTAGATGGGATGACTCCAGGGAATTCCAAAGGTAAGAGATTGCCTTTAGCGTGCTGTAAATAAAAGCTAGTCAGTACAAAGGGAAAAAAAATAGTGTCTTGCCCATACTTGTAGACTTAGTGATGTTGAGCTGTAAGTTATTGACTCCAGGAACTCTACGGGGGGATAAAAGGAAGAGATGGGCCTCTTAAAGAGAGGTTATATCCAAYACTGATGAGGACAGCAGCATCTTGCCTTCAGGAGCCTGCCTAGTTTTGAATGGGGAAAGGCCTCTTAGAACCTCAAAGGTCAAGAAATCAGTAGCTCTTCAGATTAAATTGCTTTGTTCACAAATCACTTCCAGCATATTGAGAACTTTCAGCTCTTTGGATTCCTATTAACTGAGTGAGTTTTACTTTTAAGTAAGCTTTCTTCTGCACATTTGTTTCAGACTTGTTTCCCAATACTCAGCCTTCTGAAATCAGTAGTAGTTTGCTAATAGGACTGCACTGATACCACAGAAGACTCSACTACTTGTTATTATTTCAATATCAGTAAAAATTCAGCATAAAATAGTTTTGAGAAAAAAGCTGAAAATATTAATCTGACAGTGAAATTAAAACAATTATAAAAGTTGTCTCAAAATGTTTTCCATTTCATTCCCTATGTCCTTTTTGTATACATTACAACTGCATATGTAGCCCATTGACTTATTTCAGTACATACTCAAGTGCTGGGTGCATGAAGAAGCTACTGCAGTAGAGGGTCAGATACTGGCCCTTCCGAGGGTTTTTGCTACAACAATGAAAAAGCAATGCAGCTTTGCTTGCATATAGAAACTACAGATTAATTCTTTGGCAAGGGCTCTGCCAAGTCATGAGGGCTACAGCACCCCTCCGTAGGATCATACACACAGGCATTCCTTAAATCAAGCATTGGGAAGTCAAAAGTACTTAGGAATTGGAGAAACGGGCATTAACGTGTAACTGATTTGGCAACTAATAAATACATTCACATTATAAATGAGTATTTTACATAAAAGATGAAAGTGCATAGCAGAGAATTGCCCATTCAGCAATGCTTGKTAAGCATCAACAGCTGAATCCCCTCAGCTCCAAATCTGAGCAAGAAATCACGTGTTCACCAACTCTATCAAAAAGGCAAGAATATCTTCTTCTGTTTCCTGTTTTTAAAGCCCTCATCCCTCCTGTCATTTTCCTTTCAAGTCTCAAATCTCTATCAGTGTGGAAGAATGGGAAGACACCAAAGAACAATTTAATTATCGCAGTAATCATCGAAACTCGACATCCAGCGACCAGTCAGATCATCCCTTGTTGCGACGGAAAAGCATGCAGTGGGCCCGGCGCCTCAGCAGGAAAGTCCCCAGACACTCGGGCAAGACAGCGGACAGGATAAGCCAGCAGCGCATGAACCTCTACAGGCGGTCAGAAAGACAGGAACTTGCCGAACTCGTGAAAAACAGAATGAAGCATCTGGGTCTTTCTCCAGCAGGATATGGTATGACTGTTGTAACAACTTACTAAAACARTAGTATTATGCCAGACATACTGATTTCTAATCTTTTGCAGGCTAACACTGCCATAAAGGAAACTTGAAATTTATGGTAGTGTTTTTCTGTTTTTTATTGAAGAAAACTTGATGAATTTTTTTTTAAACACACACATCAATAGTTCTTTCCTATTTTCAGATGAAGAACCTCACAAGACTGCATATCAGTTACATTTATATTTTACATCCGTTAGATATGCAAGATGAATATATAAGCATTCCCCTGGTCCATGGACTTATATTACTTTCCCTTATTCCCATTTTTTTTTAAATGAAGTGAAAATATTGTCCTGTGAAATTCATTTTCCACATGTGTTACTCTAGGTCTGTAGGTGCTGTTTCTATCCAATAATCCTTTTCCTGACGAAACCAGGAGTCCCGTGACATCTTTTTTAATACATGCAAACATAGGCAACTGGATCAAGATCATTTATAATATATTATTGGAAGAATGGTTAAAAATAACAAAATAACATATGGTTAAGAAATAACAACTTCTATTTATAGTTTTTACCTTTCACTCCATTGGCAGGAGTGGTAAGAGAAAAAAAAAGTAACATCACTTACTTGATACATATGGAAAATGGGGGGAAAAAAGGTATATTGACCAATCTGTGAGCATGGATGGGAATGCCATACAACGGGCTGTACTCACAGCATTGGCTATGACCAATGTTGACTCTAATCCACAGCTGGGAATAAAAATCCCTACTTCCCAAATACTAACAAAGCTAAATGACAGGCTTCAATTAAACTGAAATTATGTTGCATTAAGAATTGCCATCTACTAGCGTAAAAAAAAAAAAAAAAAAAAAAAGAACACACCGAACTTTTTCAAACACTCATAAAGAAAATACATCTTATAAGCTATCATACCTTGCTAAGTTCATTTCACGAGGCAAAGGTGGCAGGAAAAGCATAAATGAAAAACTGAAGCTCTGGCATATGCCAGAAGCATCCCCAAAACATCACAGTGCTGCACTGTACCACTTCAAACATTCTCAGTTGTGGCACCTTCTCCCTATCACCAGCAGCGTCCTTCTCTCTAACTCACTTAATGTCTCCTTACAATTCTGCGGTACATKAAAGGTAGGACAGAAACTTTAGTCTTTATATAGATAGATATAGAAGGTATCAAGTTGAAGAACATGTTTATACTGACRACAGAGAATTTGTTGTGAAATGAGAATAATGTGTTCTTCACCTGCAGAAGTATTTGTTCTGTAGAACTTGCCTCCACTGATTCCAGCATGAAGAGCAACATGAAGCAAGTAAAACCTCTACTGAGGTTTTAGAAAGCAAACACACATGAAATAATCCTATAATCCTAGGTCTTGTGGATGGAAGTCTGCTGCACTGCCTAACGGATACTGCATTATCCCTGAGCAGCACCCACAGCTGTCAGCTTTTCATACTGTGGCTGCTTTTCAAGTGCCCTCCACCAGTCTCACATTCTGGAAACTTTGCAGCATTCAGTGACTTAAAAGGATTCCCAGCAAACTATCTTTTCTTCCTGATTCAGTGAGGCTGTTCCCAGCTGCTGACATGTATTTCTTCCCCAGTGATAAGAGAACATTCAGCTTCCTCAGTTCACAGCCACAAAGCTGCTCAGAGTGTCTGCTCAGCTTGCAAAAGCACAGTCCTCTCACCACATGAAGCTGAAGGCCATACATCTACCAGACACTATATTAATATATGGTATTTTATATTTATATACACACACACTTCTACCAGATACCAACATATTAATATATATACTTAGTACTGCTCTGAAAGCGGCACTGAGCCCGTTTCCACTGTCAGTGGCCTAGTGTGGAAGGACTGCCTTCAGTGCAGGCCATGACAACTCTTAACTTGAAGCTTCCCTTGTACTCAGGAGCATGGAATCCTTTCACTGTCATGCAAGAATACAGTGTATTACAACAACAGCTCAATTTAAAATATTCTATCATGTTGCTATCAAAGCTATTATTTAGAATCACAGTTCAAATCCTAGCTATCTTTGTGCTTCCCCAGCACTACCATGTAGTATATTTTGTGAGCATCTTTTACCTCTATTCTTTAACCTCAGTCTTCTGTAGAGACTCTAGGAAGATAAGAGTTAAGATTTAAAATATAAGAATTATATAAGTAATAGTTTTAAAATGAGCATGAATGCCAACATTGTTTTTCCTCATCTAACATATTAAACATTCAAGGAGACACAATCATGAAACAGTATTGTATGTATGTATGCATTGTATGTAATGGCTGCTACATAAAACTAGATGTATAGCTTTCCAGATCAAAAATGCACCTGAAGAGTGGCAAGGGGATACCAGATAYACCAGATACGTAACTTGCCTTCAGCTATTTTAATGTTAATTATCAAATAATAAAGTAAAGTTAAATGGTAATTTGCCCATGAAAAAGTGAAATAACTCTAAGTTTAGCTGTGATGATGCTATTTGATATATTAAGAACTGGCAACTTGTAAGATTGTTATGTTAGTTTGCTGCAAGTACATTTGAAAGAAAATCATGAAAGTTATCACTAATTTTTGATACTTCGTTTTGGACAACTCTATGAGCCAAAGACAATCTTTATGAAAATAATTCGCTAGCTGTGATACTCTGAACAGCTTCTTTGTAAATACTTTGATTAATCTGGTATTTCTTTTTATCGTTTAGATGAAATGAATGACCATCAGAATACCCTCTCTTACATCCTGATYAATCCTTCTCCAGATACAAGATTAGAACTGAACGATATAGTGTAAGTTAAAGCATAAAGATGACCTGCRAAGTTTCTTGTTCACACTTCTGTCWGGTTTTTATTTTACTTAATACTTTCCTGCTAGAAGACCTACTCCTGTAAAACAAAAGAAAGCTAAGATGAAGATTCTGTTTCAACAGACATTAGATTTTATGTACTGTTTTATATATCCACACAAAACACACTTTTTCTAGTAATCCTTTGTATTCTCTGGTCTTTCCTTCACTCCTTTTGTGTATCAAAAATAATCCAAGGATAAATAAGTCTCCTGGATAGCTTCACAGAATTAATATTCTCATTAGATTCCTGCTTTTAACTAGCCAGTCTTAAAAGAAAGCTCCAATAGGAACTAGACTGAGCTGCTTCAAAATAAGGTTCACGGTCTTCCATCAAATCTTTCCAACAATGGCACAGCAGCAGGAAGTTCTGTCCCTACACATACCAAGTCTTCTCATTAAAAGTTTTTTGTTGTTGTTTTTAATACAGATACTTGATCCGACCTGACCCTTTGGCTTACGTTCCAAATGCTGCACCCAACCGAAAAGACAGTTTCTGCAATACASTGGGACAAGACACCAGGGAAGAAACACAACTTTGATGTGGAACTCATCACAAAATTAAGAGACAGTTTTATACAAATATGCTGTTTTCAGTATCCATTTTGAAAAGTATTTTGAATGATGCATTTCATTCAAATTTGAGAGCCAGAGAAAGGGATAATGGTAAGTGACCGTAAGTGACCAGCTTTAGATAGATGGTCTCTAGGAACTCTGATTTTCTGAACTGTCTGCTTTCTAATACAGTACAAGTATCAATACAGTAAACAAACTTTGTTACCTTAATAGAATTATGAAAACTATCACTTCTTAAYTGATATGAACAAATTATTTCAGAAGAACAAGTTCAGACCGATTTCACATAGAAGCTAAATATATTTATCAAAGTGACAACATAACAGTGACTGAGCTCCTGACCTATATCCTGAAGCCACCTGATGCCTGTGGAAAGACTACGCACAACTTGTAGTAGTAAATATTATGTTAATACCTACTTGTGCCAACGAGGCTTTGTGTGTTAACAGTCCAACCTTTCAGATAATTTTCAAGCTTAGCTTGTCATCCATTTATATTAGAACAKTCTGACAGCAGTCCCATTATAGGTGCTGGGACGGGGGTGTTGGAGAACACAGATTAGGCTGCACAACACAGCCTAGTTTCTAATTTGAGGTATATCTGCTGCCAAGGTATTTCACAGGATCCTATCTAGAGGAAGTTTCCCATCATCTCACACAGGCATTTCAAGTTATAGTAGTTTTCTAGAGCTACTGAGGCATACCTTCCTTTTGTAGGGATATAGGAATTTTTTAAAGGCAGCCTTCTAACATCTGTAGAAACTCAAAAACTACCCTCAACATGATGCCTCAAACAATGGCAGCTCAAGCAGAACATAACCCTTTTAATCCAAACAATTTGTTAGTGAGAAGCCTGTATAGATTTTGAAACAGAAGCAAGAGCACCCCTCCAGGAAACATTCCATACCACAGCTCCAAGATGCCAGAACTGTTACTGTTCAACAAAAACATCTAGATGCTCAGTTAGTCAGATTAGCACAAACTTGGTAACCTCATATGGAAACGGATGTATCATATTGAAAATCAATCTATTGCCCATTCCAGGAAATGAATAGAATACTAAGTTGCATGAAAAGGCACAGCAGATTCAGTTGTTCAGCTTTTGCATTTAGTGACCAAGAAAATATCAGAAGCTGCTACAAAGTCTCCAATCTGCAGATGTCAGAATGCCACAAGTTTGGGTCAACCTTTCTACAGAATAAGCATGTCTGTAGATGGTCTTCCAAAATTACATTCTTCCTTTGCCATTTGTTACAGGAAGAGGAAAGAGAACACACAGAAAGGTAAAAGCCCTACTGTTAAAGAGATCTATAGATATCTGTTGTATCTGTAAATTTGGCAGGCAGTCTACACTTGCAAAACTGATTTCTTTGAACTTTCTTCACGTACAGATCTTGATTCTAGAAACTACCTATCCTATTTTATTTAGAAAAGCAACTACATGGCTGGTTTTGTTTCAAAATATAAAATGTCAACTTGTCCAATGAACAACACATGGATTTGAGCATGCTTACCAGTATTATAAGTATGCTGATACTAAATCACATTCASATTAGTAGTGTCTGCTATTGTCCTCTCCCTTCTTCCTAATCGTTTTAAAACATAACTACTTTTTGTTAAGTCAGAAATCCTAAAGCCACAATTACAAAAATTCTCACAGTAGACTGAAGTCATTTTGGTATAACCATCAGAAGAGCAGGAATTAAAAGTTTTGACAAGAAAAAAAAAAGTAGCTGGAAAGCACCATTTCTTAGCATTTTTTCCCTCCAGATATTAAAGCAGTACTGGAGTTCAGAAAGGTTTCAAAGGTTTGCTTAGGACCTGGTGTTCAGTGCTTCTCCACCCCMAAACCAGACATCTATGCAAATTATTCACAGCTCAAGATGAAATATTTCAAATACCATGTCCCTTTGGGACATGAAACAATTAATATTAACTGTTGGCTGGAGCCTGAACAGCTAAAATAAATGAAAAACCTCACAATAAATGGAACAGAATTGCATTCAAGACCTGGCAGAGCAACTGGCCCAGAAAAGACTGTGTAATGTCAAAGAGTATCCATTTTTAGTACTTTCACTTCAGTGAGAAAATTCAATCCCAGCTGAATTCTCAAAATAAAAGACCCCATTTGGGTTTTTGAAAAGCATTCTCTCCAAAACGTTAGAAGAACCTTTGTTTCATACTGGTGGTGTGTTCTGATGGTCAGAAGTAGGTATTTCAGAAACACGCTGGCAGGCCAGGCTGGCCACTTTCAGTGGCATCCACAGACTTTCTCTAAAGGCATCCAGTGGTGCAAGTGAACTGGGTAGGGTACCTACCACYGAGTGAAGGACTCTGCGGTAAGACCTACAGCTAGGATTCAGAGCCTGGCAYTTAACAGCTTACACACCAACAGAAAAAGCAGTCAGGCGAACCATCTCTTTGGACCCACCTCAAAGGAAATGCTCAGCTACAGGGAACAGTAGCAGCTAATGTCACCTGAAACTACCCTTGCTTAATGAATTTTAAATTGCATMTTAGATCCAAAAGATTTGCTTGAGCAAACAGGAAGGCAACTGGAAACAGATGGCAGCCTTCCTTATAATTAACGGAAGGCAATCTCTGAACAATATAACATCCAATTCTCTTCAGAATCTGCTGGAAGCTAAGCAAGGCAATAAAACTAAGAGCAGATCTTCTGAAGCAGCATTGCTAATAATCCATGAATAAACACTGTTGAAAATACATTGTCTTTGAAGTCCTGAGTAGAACAGTTCCATTTCTACTGACGTATCTTCACAGAGAGTCTCCCAACTAACTAACAGGACTTCAAACCTTCAAGAATCATCCTGAGGACTTACATTCACATGGAGACATTCCTTTGGAGGTCAGGAAAGAGATTCCTAGAGGGTCACACCACAGGTACTGTAATGTTCACCCGCTTTCTTTGGATCACGATAATCATAAGCKCAAGACATGGCTTGCTGGTTCGGATATTCTGCAGTGGTTTTCTCCAGGCTCTGTGCTGAAAGAATGTGAAGTTGGGAGCCAGTGCACCAAAACAGCAGTTGGGCAGAAGAGTTTTGCCTAGTTCACTTTGAATTAGTATCACTAGTGACAGTTCACTTTGGGGATACAGACACTAAAAGTTATGATCACTGACATAAGCAAAAGATTTCATATTAAACTATTTGTCAAGAATTGCGTGGCCAGATAACCTACAAGTATTTCTTTCAAAGATGGTTGATTAAATCTGTATTTAATTGTATATATATATATTTTTTTCTCCTAACCTACTTTCACTTATAAATAGACAATGTTCTCTAGCACAAGAAGTAACTTGTTCCGGGAAGACACAATCTCAGTGAACAAAGCGATAGCAGGTGATAATTACTTCTTTCTACCTATCAAACATGAGAATTTATGAAAAGAGAGATTTGCCTACAAAAGTGGTCTGCGATTAAAGAGCAAAACAAAGCACAGAGGAAAATTTACACGTGAATGCAGGTYGTCTCCTCAAGTATTTCACTCCAACTCCAGAACAAACATTCACTCAAATGGGATTATAATACAAAGTAGAAAGCATTTTCAGAATCTGCAGCAGAATTAGTTATGTTCTTGCATCATCTTGACTTGAAAATTGAAAGAACATTTATTTCCCAGCATACCTTTTATCTCCCACAATTTCCTACTATGAGAACTCTTTTTATCTATAAAGCGCACAAGTACATTTGTTAATTTTTTGTTTAACATTGCACCACTAAAATGTTAAGAACAAATGAACAGGTTACAGCAGGGGAGATAAACTGAAATGATACAAAGTGCCATCAGCAACAAACAGTTCTTTAGTTAGCACTGACCACAACCATTTTGTGATTTTGGAGCACCGATGGATGAGGTTTTACTCATTCTATTTCACTTGCTATCAGAAGGAATTCAGTCACTGCAATCCAGAAAGGAGTTAATGAAAGCCTCCCAAGCAACACTGTGTAGCAACATGCAATGTACAAAGACACAGMAAAAGCCCTTTTCAAGACAGTGATATGACTGCAAAATTATAAAGTCAGACATGTATAAAATACTGTTGCATAAAATATTGTTGCATATAGTTGATTTTACAAATTGGGAATGGCCCACTCCATTTGGCACAGATATGCAGTAATGTCTAAAGGCTGCACTCAAGTTTTCATCCACTGTTCCATTTGCTTGAAGAAGAACATGAGTTGCAGGGTAACAGGAAAAGTGTAATTAATTCATATTATGATATCAGGGATGACCGAGACCTCACTGATGGGTATCTTGTGAAYTTAACTGATAATATTAAACAGTAATCACATCTAAGCATCCARTGTTGCCACTAACAGTAATTCATCACAGGTTAACTCCGATGTCCTCTAAAGAAGCTTAAAAGTTTACAAATAAGAAYTTTTTTTCCTTCATAAATAAAAAACAAACATTAGAGGTTTCTACAAAATTTTCTATTGGTTCTATAAATGCTAGACTATATACTTTTGTAGCACTGTAAAATAGGATAAATACTCTTCTTTGGATTTGTGTCTCTTTGGACAAAAAGTAAAGGGTCRAGATATTTATTTTCAATCCCTTTTTTCCATAAGCTCATTCAACAGTTGCTCTGCATTTTCACTGCTGAAAACTGGAAGGTTTTCAAGCTCTTTGTATTTGTCAAAAAGAGCTGTTTTTCTCCTGAGCAGCTCTTCCCTATCTAACACAAATAAAGAAAACATGTTGAAAGGAATAAAGTGCATTCAGAAGATTCTTGTCTATTGGGAGCTTTTGTCCTTGGCTACATGAACCCCACAACACTAAGGAGACTGTTTTTGCTGCAATATGACATTTGTCTCAAAACATGACATAGRTAAAAGCATTTTCTCAATAATATATGTCAAATCTATGTCATCTATATCGGCTTCTTCAAGTTTTAGGTTTTAGTTTTTATCTACAGGATAAAAATACTAGTTATTCCAGTACAGAAACTTACTTCAAAAACCACAACCATAGTTTCAATGCACATTGAATGTAGGAACCTATAGATAGATCTAGTTTGCTTGGACAAATCGAATCAGAAAGTCTTCAAGTCAATGTTTTGGTTTGTTCTTCCCTATGACAGTGTTCTAAAATTGTAGAAACAAGTGATTAAACTGATCTAATAACTCTTAATACTGCAATTACTACCTCCTCTATCAATGGATGCAATTACAACCTCAGGTTTCTGTCCAGAAGCAGAAAAGGGACAGCAAATATGCGTTTAGTGCTTCATTTCATGCCAGACAGACAGACGGACAAATTTAGCGCCAATGAAAGGACATTTTCTTGAACATAATTGAATTGTAAATGGTCTATTGCAACAGTTTTTTCCAATACCTATTGGAAAAATACCAATTTCAGTTGTTGGGTTACTGTGCACACTGTTGGTCTCTACATAGCAGCTATAGCAGTTCTACAAGAACATGTATTGCTTATGCTACAGTACTTATATTAGTACCTATCTGGGGCATCCATATAGCAATTATTCATAGATGCTCCCTACACTTAGGCCTCTGACAGAGAGAGGATGCAATAATAAACCTTAGGAATTTGCTTATTCAGAATATATTTGTATTCCACTATTTTAGCCAGAAATTTGAATTATCTACATCTAAACTCATAATGGAGCCAACTACAAACTAAAAAAGTAAATTCTATTTCAGCAAATCCAAACTCACTAAATATAATTCTTTTAATGTATAAAAAAGTCAGTTAAGCAGAGCCCAGAGCACTGAGGACTCTGAAGTTTTCCTATAGCRGCTAATTGCACAATCAGTGCAATTTTAATAATCCCAAGCTGCTGGAAACCTAGATTCCACTGGAGTTTAGATGTGTGTCCTGGTCCCTTATCTACCGGTTAATTATCCAACCACACATGTTGGATGTGTGGCAGRCTAAAAACAATCTATTAATTGCAACCAGAACTAATATCCAGTTAAGCATTCAAGCACCTTGGATGTAAAAGAATCAGGAGACCAAACCTACCCTGAGCCAGCCTATTGCACAAGGTGTCTCAGCTGTCAGAGATAACACTCAGGAGGTGGATCCTGTTGCTTTYAGATGCAAAATAGTTGAGTTCCAGGCCTTATCCTAGATAGTTAAGTGTACAGATTTGAGGATATTCCTGCTTCCTACCTGACATCCGAACTCTATGACTGGTGAGAACTTGAAGTGGAAATAAGGTAATCTCAAAAATGTATCCAGGCCAGGCTGAACAGAAGATGTGAGGGGAAGAGTTGCAACAGGAAAATGCCTAGCCTAACTCGTGTGCCCATTTTCTTAACATGYTCCCCAAAGAAAAACCATGTACAGCGAGTCCCTGACTGTAACAGGGACTCATTCCTTCTGCAGGGTAAGCCGGAGGCTGCCGAATGCAACTTTCTCCCTATGAGCCTGAAGAAAAGCGACACCTCCCGCACTCCCCTTGCAACACACACGCACTAAAACCAATTACAACAACATTGAGCAGTAACCTCAGACATACAAACACACATTCACCAACTTACTATAGGTAATCCACCCCTGCACTAACATACCCTTTTCCCCATCGTTACCCAAAGAGCTACTGCCAAACCTCCCTCACATGGCCGAAGCTATAAACATTTCCTGTAAATATTTAGTAATTTTGTGAGTTTGTATAACCCAGAAAACAAAGAGTTCAATACAGCTTTACCACTCAGCTATGATAAGCTAACTGTAAGCTTTTTAATTAAATGGAACCAGTGACTCATGAACTAGAGCAATCCATGGGCTTTTGAGCTGTTAAGTATACCTGACGCTTACTCCACCTTTGTTAAGCCCTTGTGATGACTGTAGCATATAAAATACTACTCCATACCCCACAGTTTCAGTTTTAAGGCTGACCTCTTCAAATAATTTATTGACATGTCTGGAAGGAAAAGGAATACATTGCAGCATAAAAACAGCTCAGATAATGAGTTCTCCCCAGGCACCTTAGGATGGTATGCAAATGTTTGGAAAACAATCCTGATTATGAGTGCAAATCAATATATCTGCAGCAAGAGATTACTCTGATGGGATTGCACTAGTACTTCAGATGAACATACCCATGAGAAAAATACCTACACTGAATAGGCAATGGGGAAAGGAATGTTCCTGTAAACTGTGGTCATTCTAAATCAGAGGAAATTTGATCAGAAGTTCTATAGCCTTCTCCAACAGCTTTTAGGGATCAAATATCCTTAGAATGCAGATCAAAAGAGCAAAATCCAAGAGACAACTTTTTATAGATCTGTGGCGCAGTAAGCAGAATAGCAGAGTAGTAAACAACCTGTCAGCAACCATAAGAGCAACTATAAAATCTAGTTGGTAATTAGCTTTTTAGGATTAGCTCATTTCCTAGTTATCTTTAGAGGCAATACATATAATATATCCTATTTTTACCAGCCAATACCAGAATTAGAAACAGATAATCTTGGTTTGGTATTTCCTGAAGCCTTACCTGAATGCAAGAATTGTCTGCAGAGTACCAAGGAGCTCCCTTCCCAGTCCAAGGCTTGAGATGCAACTAAAACTTCCTGGCAAAGAGGCTCCTGAAGGCACAAGGGCTTGCACAGCTGCAGGCGCCCAGCAGCCCCCAGCCAGGTCACACCTCCCACACCTGAAGCCAATCTTTCAAGCAAAGGGGAGCTCCTGAGCTCCTGCCCAGACTCTAAAGGAGACWGGAGACTCAAACTCATCTCACCATAATCTCTTTCTCAGGAAACTTGATAAATCTTTCTATTAGCATTTTGAAAGCACCTGAGCTCACACATAGAACCTTCTAACCATGCAGCCCTGGCCCTTTCAGATCCCATACTGCAGGTCCTCAAATTATTACAGCCCTCCTACTGTTCCTATGACTTTATTCATTTCAGCAAGCCATCCACCCCCCACCTCCACCCATTTAACACTTAAATCAGCTCCAGGACTCCATTCTCACCTGTGTCCCCTTCCCT